GCACTGCAAATTTCAGTGATTATTGAACGAGTGGTTATTAACCAACGATCACCTGTAATTCTGACCTAGTTTACCATTTACAATTGGTACTGTAACTTGAGCTAGCTGGATAAGTGCTGACCTCCAACCGTGGAGATGGGGTAAATGAGAGTAGTTGTGTTTTTTGCTTTTCTTCTTTTTGTGTCATAGCTACACCCTGCTTCCCAAAGAATGCATCAAAAGCTCTATATTCAGATAGTGAACTTATTATGGGGATGTGGATTGTACTTATCTGGAATTGTGCTATCTGTACATAAAAAGAAATCTTTGTCTTATTTAGAGATCTCAGCATTTTCTCATGTGATACCAAGTGGCTGCTTGTACTATTTATGTATGTACGTATGTATGTAGCATATGGCATACAATGTCAGGGAAATCTACACATGCTAGACCAGTGGTTCTCAACCTGTGGGTTGGGGCCCCATTTGGGGTCGATCGACCATTTCACGGGGGTCGCCAAGCAAGGCTGTCCGCCATTTTTTTTGTCCGCCATTTTTTTCCCCCTTTTCCGGCGGGTGCCTTACTTCCCTTGGGCTGGGCCAGCTGGTGGTCGGCCTGCTCCGTCTCTGCCGCTTGCCAGCTACGCCTCGGCCGGCGCAGGGGGCGGAACCACGCATGCGCGGCGCTCCCGGGCAGGGAAAGTCCTCAACTTACGACCGGTTGGGTAGTCCTCGACTTATGACCGATTTAGTCCTCGACTTACGACCGGTTTAGTCCTCGACTTACGACCGGTTTAGTCCTCGACTTACGACCGGTTGGGGTCGCGGCATTAAAAAGGTTGAGAACCACTGTGCTAGACACAATGTAGTCCTGACAACCTAGATTGCTAGTTCATTTTGTTCAGCGCCAGGTCCAGTGCCAGCTTCTGCTCTCTGCATGCACAACTAGTTTTTCTACTTGCAATATTGAATACCTTTGAACTGCTGGGTGAGGGGAGGAGCCAGGGAGCAAACAGTGGGAGCTCACTCTGTCTCATGGAGCCAGGCTCAAACTGCCAGAGTGCAGACCATTTCTGGCCAGCAGCTCTGACATTAAGCCACATGTTATGTTATGTTTCTATTCATCCATCCATTCTCTCTCTCCATCTCTCTCTCTCTCCCTCCCTCCCTCCCCCCTCTCTTTAAAAGTAAAAGACAATTACTAATAAAACATAAAAATATTATTTAAAAAACCCTGGGTAACCTGTCCCATCCATATCTTCTATTTATTTTCCCAACTGCTAACCACTACACAGCATACTTTGCCTGTTAAACTTATTGCTATAAGCCATTTAAGTCATTTCTTTTGTTTTTCACTAGTATCTTGTAGTTTAAGTTCAGAGTTTATGTTTAAAACTTCATGATTTGTTCTAATACTTTGGAGATTTATTGATAATCACCATGTGCCATAAGATGTTTCTTTAGTTGTGGCATTTCCAGTGTTTGTTATATGATTTATGTATCTTGGTAATCGTAAATTTATTGGGTTTTCCCCAATATCTTTCCCATTATTCTACTTGCATCTTGAAAGTTTGCATCAACTTTATCATTCAGTTTTTAATTTGTCCCATCTGTGTTATATTCAGAAACCCTTTATATAAAAGCATCCTAATCTTTTCAAATTCTTCTTTCTCAGGTTCCTTCCTTTTTTCTTGAGATTACAGGAAGTGCTTGAGTTGCAACGGTAATTGGGATTGAGATTGCCATCACTAAGCAATGTTACAACTACATTGCTTAGAGCCAACAATCCCAGAATTCCAGTTGCTGTCATAATCTCAAGATACATGGGTTGTTAAGTAAGAAGTGGTAAGGAACATGGGGGAGGGTGGGGGGAGGCCCTGGAAAGCCTGGCACAAGGGAGACCTGACACATGAGTTAAGGGAGGCCATGGGAAATTTCAGGAGGATAAGTACAGGTTATACAAGAGTTGGGGGAAAGTCAGGGAAGGTTTTGGGAAGCCTACCATAGGCTATGACACTGAACTCCCTCCTGTCCCCTCCGACGCACGTCCGTTCATCTTACTCAACACTAGAAGGGACGGTCGAAGGGGTAACTGGACATCCTTCCGTTCCCTTCCAACGTTTACCACCAGTGTACTGGTATCCCTACGACACTTCCTACCCTGAAGTCCCTAACCAACATTCAGGTAAGAAACGTTGCAACGGTATTGAAAGAAATGTTGCTTTATGAATGAATGTAAGGTGAGGACTACCTCTAACTTTTGTTCCCGTAGCAATTTGTAAATATATCAACCATCATTAGTTCCTAACTTCATTGAGTCATTCTTGCTGTGTCTTTACTTTGATTTCTGAATATGGATTGGCATATGTGATTGAATTCATCTTACTGTAGCTGTCCTTGAAGTAAGAGGTATTCGGAGGTGACACTAATGGAGAATGCTGGATTTATCATTTTTAGAAGATTCCATATTTTTAATAAGCTTTGCTTATAATATACTCTTCAAATTATTTTCTTGTTTCTTTGTACCATGTATACAATATCTATGGAATCCACTGATTAAGCCAGATTCTTGTAAAACTAGTAATTTGCTGCACTGTGATTTTCATAGATAGCTTGCTCAATAATATAATTTAAGGTTAGGAAATGCGGATCTTCTCTTTCTTTTGAGTCTTGCAAATTCTTGAATCTTACTCTTATTTTTCCCACTTCATGTAAGTCTATTGATTGTTCTTTGCCAGTTGGGCAAGCATTTCTCTGAGGTTATAATTTGATCCATTTTGAGTATTCATCTTGAGTGATTAAGTTAGTGGTATTACAACATAGAATCATAGGGCTGGAATGGACCTTGGAGGTCTTCTAGTTCAACCCCCTGCTCAAGACAGTAGACCTTTTATCATTTTGGTCAAATGGTTGTCCAGTCTAGTTTTGAAAATCTTCAGTGATGGAACATAAACAATTCCGGGGATCAAGCTATTCCATTGATTGATTGTTCTCACCATCAGAAACTTTTTCCTTACTTCTAGGTCGGATCTTTCTTTAACCAGCTTCCACCCATTACTATTTGTCTTGCTCTGTAGTACTTTGGAGAATCAATCAATCAATCAATCAATCAATCCTCTTCTCTGTGATAGCCCTTCAAGTTCAGGAAGTTTTCATGTCCCCTAATCCTTCTCTTCGATAGGTTAGATATATCTAACTCCCTCAACCGTTCATTACATAATTTAACCTCCAGATCCTTTATCATCTTTGTTGTTGTTCTTTACACACTTTCTAGGGTCTCAACATTTTTTTTTCTTTTGTATTATGGTGACCAGAATTGCACACAGTGTTCCAAGTGTGGCCTCACAGGTGCAACATAAAGTGGCACCGAAGACAAATTCCTTGTGTGTCCGATCACACTTGACCCATAAAGAAGTATTCTAACTCTAACTCTAATTCCATTCCTATTCCTATTCCTATTCTATTCTTTATCATGTCTTGTGATTTTGATGTTATCCCTCTGTTGATGCAGTCTGGGACTGCATTGGCTTTTTTGGCAGATCCTAACCAAGATTTTTGCTAAAATTTTCCACTTAACCAATATCTATGTCTTTCCACAATTTATTACAACTGTTTTAAAATATGTCTTGGTTTAATCCAGTCAGGGAAAGTCCCAAGATTTTTGTTGTTGTTATTTCACCATCAGTCTCTTTTTTCGTAAAGTCATATTCTTCAAGGGTTATATCTATTGTTATCTTTAATTTTGTTTCTGGAAAATTGGCTAAAGTGGGAATTTGGATAGTAATCCTCTATACATGTGATTTTTTTGTGCTACTTTTAGTATTTTAATGGTTGCAGGTGCGAAAGTCATCCTTGCTTGCAGAGATATGGCAAAAGCAGAAAAGGCAGCCCATGAAATCCGGATCAAGACGGGAAACCAAGGGGTTATAGCAAAAAAATTAGACTTGGCAGACACCAAATCTATCAGAGAATTTGCCAGTAATTTCTTGAAAGGTATGTCTCAGGCACATTGTTTTCTTGAGCGTAGTTTACTTGGGGCAAAATGATACCTGATTATTTGTCTAAAAATCCAGTACGCATGATGAAATTAGGGCATGCTTTTTATTTATTATTTATTTATTAAATGTATATCTGCTGCCCATCTTGCTAGCCAGAGCGACTCAGGGTGGTTTACAGTGCAATAAAAACAATTCTAAATATCAAAACAGTTAAAAACAGTTTTTGTCTTTTAAACTCCATTAAAATGGTTACTGATTTTAATTTTAAAATTAGACTTCTGCCTGCATAGCAATACTTCAACTAATAGGATTGCCAAAGCAATCCTAAAGGAAGCATTCTACTGAATGAAATAGAAGGGGATCTAACTGCTTCCTGTCCTGCTTTCTGGAGTGATTTTGTCTGAGTCCGATAGGACCAAATTTTACCTTGTCAAAATGTTCATGGGAAAAATCTGAAAGAAATTGAACTGTGACTATGTTTCCATTAGCCCAGTTCCAGTATTTTTATCTTGGGCTTCTTTATTCATTTGGCCTATGTGGCTTTTTTCTTGCAGAGGAGAAAGAACTCCACATACTCATCAACAATGCAGGTGTTATGATGTGCCCCTATTCAAAGACAGCTGATGGTTTTGAGACGCATTTTGGAGTCAACCATCTTGGTAAGGTTGCTAAACTTTATCTACTTGATCAGTTTTTCTCTTAGAAAGTTTTATTTAAGACTCCCCCCCCCCTTTTTGTCTTAAAGTGCTATAAGAAGTTAGAGTTTGGACCACATGTAAAGATTGGAAAGATTTGTGTGCTTTTGCATGTTGGGCATGCAGGGAGGATAAAAAAGAAAATGTCGCAATGCTATGTCTGCCTCTTTTATATATACATTGTAATGTTGCACCTGCATATGGTAAAAGACCAAGCTTATTTTTTTTATCTTTATGAAGTGGTTGAATTCTGCAGAGGCCTTTCAGAAGATTGTAATTGTTATGTAGAGAAGCACACAGGTTTTCCTTAAGGCTCTATGAGCCCTGATTGAGATAAGAGTTATTGCTGCTCATTTGTTTAAATTAATGGTAACATGGGAAGGGTGAGGTAAAACAATATTATCATAATTATTCTCACAGGGATTACTGTTCTCCTTGATCACACTGTGAATTTTTTAATGCATCAGATTCTTCATCAAGTTTTAAGGAGCTATTTGAATGTGCATAGTCCTTAGTTGATTTAAGTAATCAGAATGTTATTATGCTTTTAATTGTGGGGGGGAAATGGAAACTTTGAGAACACAATTGCACCAGACAATCTCACTTCTTAAAAATCCAAAGGTTAGTAGTACTGTCTCATCCGATTTGGAAAGCCAAGTTGCTCTTGATATCTGGTGACTTCATGGAAATATTTACATAATTTTCTTGGCAACAATATGCAAATGATTTCCCATTGCCTTCTCCTGAATTATTTTTTAAAAATGTCCCAGTATAGCCTATATTCCTGGTATTATCGGGTAGTTTACCATCTATGTTTTATCCAATCCTGACCCTGCTTACATATTTGAATTCAACCAAGGTTTAGAGCACAAAATTGCTGAGAGCTATCTACATATTTTAAACAGTTCTGCGAAAGAAAATAACGTCTTTCAGATTTTCTGAATTCTTGCTTTTCTTTTATGTTGAATGTTGTTGGAGTTTCATATGCATCATTGATATATAAAGAGAAATTAAGCAAAAAAAATATTGCCAGTTTTTCCTGTTTGATTCATTTAGTTCATAAACAGAACTATTCAATATGTAGTTTGCTAATCAACCTAAATCTCAGTTCAGTTGTATGAGGGCTCTTTTGATTGGAGGTGAGTCCTGCCTTATATAAAACTCACAAACTTTGGCTTTCCTCATCATTCCATGAGATGGTTATGTTAATCATGATTTGATTGAGTTTTGTTTACCTTGGCTTCTAGTTATCCATTTTTGGTGTTTTGAACTATTATTCTGCTCAGAGTCACCATGGTGAGATGAGCAGCCATATAAATTGAATTACATAAATCACAGGGAAGTTATCACCATACAGATTCTTGAAGGCATAATGTATCCTGCCCAAAAGGCCTCTGTTTAAAAAAAAATGATGTATCAGTCTGCCAAAGCTTACAAATTCATTTCTAAATTTGGGGGGGGGGGTTTCCACTAGTCTACCAGGACTCTTGAAATGGAGAAGATTTGGGGAAACCATGAATCTTCCCAAGAGTAAAAACCATTTGCATTAAAGATATTGTCGTGTAAAAAATATTTCAAGAGCATAGTATAAAGTCATTCAAGAAGTCACAAAAAATGCTAGATGGTATCTCTTGCTTTGGCTAAAATCAGTGCTCATGATTCCTTCATCAGAAAAGCTCTGAGCAAAAATTGGACTCATGAGAGAGTAGAAAGGTAAAAGTCATGGGTCACTGAGAAGAACATCAATGGTTGCCTCAAAAATCACCTGAATAGCCCTCCAGATATATGAAGGATTGTTCTGTATGTCAAAAGTATAACAGATGACATATGGAACAATTGGTATACCAGAACAAATGCTACATTCATCATAAAACCTTGATACCAAATGCCAAGCATGGGAGGAGTGAGGATACTTTCCTATCTCAGATCTGGATAATTTGCCACTATTGAAGAAAGTTATGAGAGAACATCGGACCATTTGTTCATCAGCTGAAGTACAGGCAGGTCACACAGCAATCTCAAAGCAGCAATTCCAAGTATATGCACAGGTCTACAAGGGTAAAAACACATTCACTTCTTTGGAAGGGCCAAGTCAAAGTCTAGATCTAAATTGTACAGAAATGTTATGGCAGGACCCAAAACGCCAAGTTAATGCTAGAAAACTCTTTAAATGTGACTGAGTTCAGCAGCCAGTTACTGAATCTAAGGGGCAATTATTTTTTTCATATATCAGGCTGATGAACTACTGAGTGACACAGATATACAAATATTCAGAATATATGAAAGGGAATGATTTTTTTTTTTTTAAAATGGATGAATTCCTTAAGGACAATTGCTTAGTTTATTATCAGCAATCTCTTGAAAATAGACCTTCCTCTCCCCCCCTACACACATCTTTGCTTTATTTTTTTCAAATTTTACAATTTTATATAACACATATGTTTAATGAAAACCAATGCGTGCAGATCTAATCACAAAATTCAAATTACTGTTCATAATCTTTCCTATTAGGACATTTTCTTTTAACGTTCCTGCTAATAGAGCGTCTGAAACAAAGTGCACCAGCTCGTATTATAAATGTGGCTTCAGTGGCTCATCATATCGGGCGCATTCATTTCAATAATCTCCAAGGTGAAAGATTCTACTTCCGGGGCCTGGCATACTCTCATAGCAAGCTGGCCAATATTCTTTTCTCACGGGAATTGGCTAGACATCTGCAAGGTGAGCTGGAAGTGTGCAGTGTCTTTAGTTGACAAGGTTATTTAAATGCAAAAACTACTGGGAAAATTGGGGTACTGGTATGGGAGAAGTCCTAATATTTTTGAAGTAAGACCTTTTTTTAAACTCCAGTTCTTGCTACCCAATACGTAAAATAGAATGGCAAAAATTGGCCAGGATTGAGCTGGGCAGAAATGTCATCTCGACACGTTAGAACTTGAAGGATTCGATATTTTAGAATAGATGACTGATTTTTAATCGAATTCTAACTAACATTTGGATGATATGATTATTTTTCCTGATTTACTGATTTTCATTTGTTACTTTTGATTGTTAGGATTTTTTGAGATTTTATTAGTAGTGTTTACTTAATAGATCAACGTATTTGTTTACTAATTGTTTTTAATGTTATAGTCTAAGCTTTGGTAAAAATGGTTGAATATGATATTTACTCATTATTATGATCCGGACGGTAGCTTGTTTGTTGAAATATGTGATTGTACCTATCCTTATTTTATCCTAATTCCTTATTCCCTTCCCCTTCCCCTTTCCTTCCACCCCTCCCTTTACCATACCTGTATTGTTCCTATTTTTCCTCATCTACGTATATAAACTTAATAAAATTTTGTTAAAAAAAAAAAAAAGAAATGTCATCTCGAGAAGCAAAGATAGCAGTATGCTGGAACAACCTGTAAAAGCCCTAGTATTTCTGTCCTATGCACACATACAAGTAGTCCTCAACTTACAATCATTCGTTTAGTGACGGTTTGAAGTTATAACAGCACCTAAAAAGTGACCTATGACTGTTTTCATACTTACAAACGTTGTAGCATCCCCATGGTCACATGTTCAAAATTCATCCGTTTGACAATTGGCATGTATTTATGGCAGCTGCAGTGTCCCGGGGTCATGTGATCACCTTTTGTAACCTCCCTAGTTGGCTTCCAGCAAGCAAAGTAAATAAAGGAAGCCAAATTCACTTAACAATGGCACAATTCTTTTAACAACTGCAGTGATACGCTTAACAATTGGCAAAAAGATCACAAAATGGGGCACAACTCACTTAATATCTGTCTTGCTTAGCCACAGAAAGTTTGGTCTACATTGTGGTCGTTAGTCGAGGACTATCTGTACTGAACGTTGTAGGACTTTTTCCTAAGTAATTTTAAATAAACTAATGCCAGAGAGAGATACTTAGGCTTCTACCATAGGTATAAGGATTGTTTGCACACAAAGGAAGCTGTGGTCACCTTTAGTCCAACTGCCATTGAATGGACTACAAATACGATTTATTTTTGGTTTTAGTGTGCATGTACTTCATATGGACACATGTGACATAAACTCTAATTTGTGGAGTTCTTGGTGTTTTCTGAGCTTGATTATATGCTTGCAAGCATTTCATTCACCAACAAGATAACATCATCAATGTTCATATATAGTAATCTGCCCTGCCAATTTGGGTAGGAATATGATTTTTTCCCCTTGGTAGTTCTTTAATTATGGCATTATTTTCTGCTTCATTGTTTGCCTGGCATTATCTAGAGAGGAGTGTTCTTTTTTTTCTGTTTCCTTCTTAACTTTTTATACGTTCTTTGGCTATGTTTTATAGCCAAAGCCAGCATAACCAAAAAACTTACAAAAAAGCTTTGATATCTCATCCTACTACTGTGCCTCCAGAAAATCAAAGACCTAAAAATAGAAATCATGGTTTCATTTTATGTTGCAGCACTCTTTATGTCCATAGATCCAAAGCTAGTGAAAAAACCCATGACAGCCTTTCTACACAACCCATGGCTAGCTGTTCTAACCAAATACACTAAATATACTGTATACTGTATACACAAATATGCTATCAATTTTAAGGACAAATATATGCACAGATCAAAGGGGATCCATGGCATCACCACTCTCAGGACTCAGAGCAGAAACCATAATATAGAATCTAGAAACTATAGTAGTCCCACTTATGCAACTAAAAGTATGGCACCAAGGACTCCACAGTTTAACTTCGAGCTACATATATTCTCTTCTATTGAAACTCTTAAGTTTATGCTGGCATATTTTCCTTTTTGTAATTCAAACAAAATCCTTTGCTTTTGTATAGGCTGATCCCATTAACAGTATATTTTTGAGTACATGCCTGGTTTGTCTCCTGCAGGTACTGGTGTCACTGTGAATGCTCTGCATCCAGGTACAGTTTTGTCTGAACTTGTTCGTCATTCCTTTACACTAAAAGTTTTGTGGAACATATTTTCTATCTTCTTGAGGACACCTTGGCAAGGAGCCCAGACCAGCATACATTGTGCGGTGACAGAGGAACTGGAGACAGTCAGTGGAATGTATTTCAGGTGGGTTGATCTGGGATGACTGGCAATGGGAGGTGGTGAGAGGGAACAAAGGTTTGACTCCAAATCTAAGGAACAACATTGTTCTGGTTTTGCTATAACGCCCTAGATACCATAAAAGCCTTCAGATGGGGAAAGAAGCTTTGGATAACCACGTCAAAATAAACCAGGATACAAGCAGGAGTTATTATTGCTATTGGTATTATTTTGAAGCATCAGTGAGGCTCCCCCGTGGGCTCAGTTCAAACATTGGGTATGGGACTTAGCAAGTCCCTAGTAATAAGTTACTGATGGGTTAAGGATTCTTGTACCTCTAATAAGTGTAGAAGTCATTCAAAAAGAATGAATCTCACCTGCTGATTCTTGCCTAACAGCACCAGGTGACATCACTAGTTGTCTCTTTAAAGCAGCAGTTTTCAACCAGTGGGTCATGTAGATGCTGCATGTGAGCCAAACTACATACGAAAAGTGCTACATAGATGCACAGCAGAATCCCACCTCTGTGACATTGCCAGGGGGCAAATTGTCTCCATTTCTCCTCCTGAGTCCCAGCAACTTGTGTTGCCAGGGACTTCCAATTTTGCAGACTGAAAGTCCTGCCTGTGAGATGTGTGCTGTGAGATGAAAAAGGTTGGAAACTACTGCTTTAAAAGATTAGAAATCTGAATCCAGTCCCACTGCATTCATGGTAACATCAACCTTAGTGGCTCCCTTAGCTAGTGCTAAGGATAAAGATCCATAGTTATGTGATACACACATAGCGGCCATCCTAGTTGAGCATGTGTATCTTTAAGCTATGGGCATATGTGTTCAAAATGAGTGAAGAATCTTACTATATTAAGTAGCTTCTAAAATATGCCAGGATGGTTATGTAAAAGGAGGCCCTGTAGTCTAAATTGCATCTTGATGCATTAAAACTTATCAATGACGGCTTTGTACAAGGAAAGTGCAAAAGATTCTGGGCATGCGTTCTGGGTTTCCACAGAACAATCATTTTACAACTAGTCCATGCTTGAAACATGTATTTAAGTTTATAATATGAACAAACAAAGTTGCTGTGGATACAGAAGGAAATATGGTTGTCCTGGGTGAGTAGAAGAAAGCCAAAGCAGTCAGAGTGGCTAAGAGGGAAAGGAGTGAAGATGAGGGGAACTGTAGGAGAGAGCTGTGGGGAGAGGGAATGACAGATGTACGAGCTTTGCTGGTTTGGTGTGTGTGTGTGGGGGAGAGGGGGCACAGTCTTAACTCCTGGCAACCATCTGGACAAGGCCCTGCATTTTTCTTGGCAAGATTTTCAGAAGTCGTTTGCCATTGCCTTCTTCCTAGGACTGAAAGAGAATGACTGGTCCAAAGTCACCCAACTGGCTTTGGGCCTAAACCAGAACTAGAATTCACGGCCTCCCAGGCTCCAACCTGGTACTTTTAATCACTATATCAAATTGGCTGTCAATCTTGCTGAATTTCTCTTTTAAAATTCAATAGAGGTAGTCCTCGACTTACAACCATTTGTTTAGTGACCAAAGTTACAACGGCACTGAAAAAAGTGACTGTTTTTCACTTACAAACCTTGCAACTTCCCCATGGTCACGTGATCAAAATTCAGATGCCTGGCAACTGGCTTGTAAGTAATGTCCTGGGGCCATGTGATCATTTTTTGAGACCTTCTGACAAGCAAAGCCAATGGGGAAGCCCAGATTCACTTAACAATCATGATACTAAACAACGGCAGTGATTCACTTAACTTTCTTTGGTAAGAAAGGTTGTAAAATGGGGCAAAACTCACTTAACAACTGTCTTGCTTAACAAGGGAAATTTTCAGCTCTATTGTGCTCGTAAGTCGTAATATATATTAGCATGCTGCTAATATATACAGTGTAAATCCTCTGTTAGAAAAAGGAAAGAATGCTAGTAACTTGTATTAGTAATTGAGGAGTCCATTGTTCAGGCATGTTTTGATTGACACACCTCTTTTATAGTCAATGAGCTTTGATTTGTTTTTTGTTTGCCAAGTCTGAACATACTAATTATATAACCTTATAATCTATATAAATAAAAATGTAAATGTTCGTTTGTTCAAAATCTTAAATCTCCGAAAGTTCTTCACCAATTGCTTTGAAATCTTGACACAACGTTGCATTAGAATACGCGTGTTTTTATATACCTATATTATATAGATGTCACACCTGTGACAGGTAAAAACATGCTTTTTTTGAAAAACAGCACCATCTGTTGGACGTAAAAGCAACACACGCTTTTACCAGACCGAGCCACAGCAACGCGTGGCCGGGTACAGCTAGTTATTTTATATAATTAAAATTATGTTAAAATGAATGACGTCTGCCTGCAAAACATGTTCCTAGATTGGAGCGAAACGCAGAACAGACTGATTTATATTTGGTAGACCGGGTGCCTCACCCAACAGATAAAATATTAAAATGAATACAATTAATTATAATTAATATTTAGAATTATTAATGCAAAAGAACATTGCTAACATGCTTTCTTCCTTTACATAACAGTGATTGTAAACCAGCAAATGTGTCATCTCAAGGACGTAAGGAGGAAACAGCAAAGAAGCTTTGGAATGTGAGTTGTGAACTCCTTGATATCCAGTGGAATTGACCTGCAAAGGCCAGCTACATCTGAATCCCATATTTTGTATACAAGACTATGGAAAAGTGTTGCTTTCATGTAATTTTCATAGTTGATAGGACATGTCCATTTTTAATAAAAGTGTTAATCTCAGCTTTTCCATTAAAATAGAAGCTCAAGCAATTGTTTAGTGTATGGAACTAACCACGATAATACCATGTTGAAGATCTCCTGGTTCCCCCCCAAAAAAAACCTTAGTTTTTCTGGTTTTTGCATGGCAGTGTGAATTATGATTTGTTTGGTGTGGTTTTGCACAGCACTCTGGGCTAAAAGGTTGCTGCTTCATTTGTGATTCAGCATGCTACGAAACATGCCAGGCTACAAAATTACATCAATTATCTTGTTTTGAAAATTTTAAGATGTTTACAGTGTGGTTTTGGTGACTTGGTTTCTTTCATTTGTTGAAATTTGTTTGTGGCTACATATTTAACAAAAAATGATATTATAGATCAAAACACCAACTTGCCCAAATTCTTTATTTTCTCAATGAGAGTTTAACACTTTTGTTCATTGGAAGTTTAGAATTCCTCCATCGCAGTTTAGTACAGGATAGTTCACAGGACAGGTTTTGCTGGTGAGAAAGGGATCCTTTAAAAATCCTAAAGAATCCGAGTAACTAACAATATAAAGTGCATAAAATGCAGTGCAAAGAGTGGACCCAACAATCGTCTCAATTTTCTCTCCCACACAAGTCGTTCCTTTCTTCCCTTTGGAAGGTATTGATGAGAAGAGCTTGGAGATGAAAGTACAAGCCATGTTGCACACCCAACTCAATAGGCAGTATAGCTTAACACAGAGAGAATAATGAATCCTGTTTTTTTCTTACTTCTGGAAGAAGTAATCAAAGTCACAGAAAGCCCAGTCAGACTATCTCCTGGGACTCATGGCAGTTGAGCTCGATAGGCAGCAAAAGCAGATTTTATAACTCTTAGATTCCTAATAGGATAATCTCCCAAGATCCAAAAGGTATGAAAAGATAGAAGCTAAATATAGCCCTCCCCAGTTACTTAACCTCAAAGTTATTTCTGGCTGCCAAATCCAATGAATTAAGGATTACTACACTTGTAGGTGTGAAATATGGCTGTTGTTTCCCTGGAAAGGGTAGCTTAGACCGTTTGCTGAAATTAGTGGGAACAGATGATGTTCATCTATTTTTTTTTTTAAAAAAACCCTCAAAGATAAAACCATCCTGAATAATATCTTACAACCAATACAATTTTGATAACAGTTTGAATTTTTCAAGTTAAAAATGTCATCAATTACAGTCATATCCTCTTATACAGATCATGCTGTGGTCTCACTGTTTTCGATATTATGTCATTGAAAGGACAATGAGAACTTCAAACTGTTTGGGGGAGGGTGGCAAATATGGGTACAGGTTCCAAATGGCAGCTACTATTCAACTTCGTCGTTTGTTGCTCCCTTTTCTGTGTTAACTGGTTATTTTCTCGCCTCAGATAGTAACAGGTGTAGACTTACAGGCCTGTTATCTCTTATGCACAGAATTCAGCTACAGCTTTTTCTTATGAAAAGCAACTGTACCCATCTCAAAATGCTACTTGTTTCTTTATGGAGTTGGCTGTAGCTTTGCAGTGTCGGGAATCACAAGCTGTTATTAAACTCTTGTTGATGTGGGATTTGCATTAATAAAATAGTGCCTAACGGAGAGAGATCTCCATGATCATAAAGTAAAAACACAGCTGAAGCAGCACTGAAAATATGAAGTATGTAAAGAATAAACCCCCTGAAGTAGAGGTAGTTGGTTGTCACTGCATCATGACTGGCACTTTAAGGAAGTCGATCTTTTCCCTTTGAGTAAAGGCATTCAAGCAGCTTCTTTCCAGTTTGCAGCCATAATTGACTCTAGCACAATGTAACATTTTCCCTTTCTAGAAACAAACATCCCAACAAATTTCTGGGAATCACTTCTTGGAATTTTGGGTAAGCCAGCTTCTCGGCTTAGTGTGATGTACCGAAAGCCACTGGGTGCAGATGGCCTGCACTACATCATCCCCACCATCCTCTGCCATTTGCCGTATGTGTTGAACCAGCTGCACAGCTCTTATGTTTTCTTGTTTTACTGAGATAAGGTAGGCAGAACGTAGTTTGTGGCATTTCAAATATGCCTGAATCTGAAACAGAAAGAAGAATAACGAGGCTTGAAATTTTATAAGAAGGAGTATTGCTCTTGGGATGCACCAGTTTTCCTTCACTTCCTAATGTAGCTCTGATAAAAGACTTTAACCTAAATGGAGAATCCGTAGAAGACAGAGGTGTGATATAAAGACTGCACCAGGAAGTAAGTATCAACAAGACCCTTTGCACACAGACTTACTGGAAGAATTTACTTTTGAGATTACTGCCAAAAGATACTTGCTTGTTTGCTGCAAGGCAGCAGAGCCTATATATAAAGTTTGAAACAATGCATGCATTTAGAACGATGATAAGAGTTGCTTTGTAGGCCAGGCACTGGAATGTATTACAAAAGACTTGTATGTTAGGCTTATTAAAATAACTTGATGCCAAACAAATACATTTCTGCCTAGAGCTTTTTAAAAAACTCAACTTTTCTTGTTCCTTATACAATCATTCTTCTATAATCATGTTTCTCAACAACAAAAAAACACCAAAATTAAATAATTTAAAAGTAATATCTATTCCATAGAGCTTCTACTATAAAAAGCAAATGTTTCAGTTGTAAGTTTCTCTGAAAATAATAGTCCATTACACTGGGAATTTACTGAATTGGAAAACACAATGGTTTATTCAGCAACAGAAGAGAGAAAGAATCATTGTGTGGAATAGCAAATGGGCCAGAGTGCACATAATGTTTGTTGATCATTATAAATGATATATATGGCTATCAGTCTAAATATTTATGCCCCAAATTCTAGATGAGCCTCCTGGGTTTAACTTTATGGGATTCTTGTCACTGCTGGTAAAGACGGGGAAAATGGCATCTTCAAAAACTGCTTGAACAATTCAGGATGCCATACAGACCTTTCATCTTCTGGATATTCCTGTTATACAATTTCAGATTGTACCAGGCTGAATAATGAAAGTCTTCATGTGAGTGCACACCTTGATTTATTAGTACCCATGCTCACTGATTTTATGTTATTTCAGTTCCTACCACTTAATGGGTCAAGATCTGAAATTTAGATAGGGCAGAGATATATATTTGCGTCCCTTAACCCTTTATATATTCTGGAAATACATCAGCTCATTTCAAAGTAGTTTTCTATTAATACACATCACTATGAACATCGTGCTCAATGTTAGTAAAGAATTATCAGCCACATTCATACACTTATTGAATATGATGATCCTAGAACAATAGGAGTAGATAAAAGATTGTATCCACAAGAATGAATGAGCAAAAATACACCATATACATAATAAGTATTTCCAAAAATTACTTCATATCCAAGAAAAATTTTTTTTGTTTTACTCACTTTGTTTTCATCACTGTCCATATCCTGGATCAAATTATCCAACTCCTAGATCCCAGCAAGAAAAATAAAAATGGTAGAAAGATCATGAGATGAACTGTTAAACATTGTTTACACTGTTATGGTTGCCTATACTTGCCCCTATAGATCGCTTTCAATTAACCAGAGAATCAAGGAAGCAATTATAAACAAAGTCCTACCCAGTGAAAAAATAGTAAGCAGCTATTTCATTAGCTTTTATTGGATTATGTGACTTAATTATGAGACTTAAGGGATGCCCACAGTCGTGGCATAAACATATACCCAACCCCTTTCCAAAATGAAGAACATCCTAACTATCCTCATTTAAGCACTAGATGAGGTACTTGGGTATCCCATTAGCAAATTATAAATTTAAGACTACAAGGATGACACAACTCATTCATTGGCTATGAAAGAATCACTAGCAAAGTGGGACTTATGGTTGGCTTTCTAAATACTCAATTTAGGAGAAAGAAAAAAAATATAACCGTGTCTCTTCCCTAACACTACAAGAAATACAAGCAGTGTCTCCCTTTTTGTGTTAGTTGGTATTTTAATGAATGATGTTAAAACCTGATAAAGATATTTTTTAAAAAATAAGCCAAAGTTACCTCCGCAGGGATAGAATCAAACTCATCCAAGCAACTGAGGATGACATTGTCCCCATCATTTTTATCTGCGGCACCAGATTCCTTGATACATTTAATGAGCTGCCTGATCTCGCTGTAGCTCTGCTGCTTCACCAGCTGCCTAGCCACTTTATTGTATATAGCAGCAACATCCAGCTGGAAGTCCTAAGAAGGTGGACGAAATAAGTATTATTTGAGAAAGATGATATACTGTATGTATAAATAAATTGGTTGACGTGTCAATCATTAAAACAAATAAAAACTGAAAGAATGATTTGATTAACGTTTCTATACTTTATTTACAAAAGACACTTGTTAAAGTTTTGAAGTGTTTTCTGAGAAGGACAAAGGACAAAGGAAAAGAAATCAAGTTCTAGGACTTATTGGAAGGGATTAAAAATGAAGTTAAAAGTAAAGAGAAGAAATATAAAATTGGGTAGGAGATACAGAAATATAGCCAGCCGTACTAACAGGCTGAAGAACAGCTTTTATCCATGGTCTGTCAGGCTCTTGAATGGGACATAATTTTATGCATGACAGACTCGTGAGGCCGGCGTGCTGTGCAATTAGCTCACAGGGTGTAATAAATTGGGGGTTTGTAGTCACTGTGAGTTGGGGGGGGGCACGGAGGGAGGCTCAGCCAATTTCACTGTATACATGTTATACTTTGATAATAAAGGTTCATTCATTATTTGATCAAGATTAAAATAGATATGTGGTTATCCCTGATAACCTCTAATGGACTTTTGTTGATCAGGAATGAATGATGAGATTTTAAGATTTAAGAGATGAGATATGAGGAGAAGAGAGCTTTTGTTGTATTTTAAGAGACTGTGATAGGTTATACTTGTGACGGAGGGGGAAGTTACTTCTTTATATGTTTCTTTTTCTTTTCCATTTTTGTCATTTCATTTTCTCCACTTTTTAATTTTTCTTTGTAACTCATACAGTACATATTCTTAGTTTGTGTTAGTTTTTATCTTTTCAACTGTAATCTTTCATAAAAGTATTATTAAAAATTCAAATAAATTTCTAGAATTACATAAAAACAATCTGAAATAATGCAGTGGTTTGCTTCAACTATTTCAGTGTCACGTGTAAAGAGTCAATGTTAGATATAAAGCTTCTTCATTCAATATACCTGCAGTATTCTAAATGCGATCCCAAATCCCTCTTCAATGTTTTTGCCTTCCAACATGACCTGAAAAAAAAATGCAGCAGCAGGGGAAAAAAGAAAAAGAAAAATTGAGCGACATACAAAGCCCCAGTGATAACAACGTGTTCTATTTTTTTTCTGGATTTCAGCCTTAGAACTGCTATGTTAAAGCTCCAGTGAAATACTGCTTCTCTGAGTTATTCTTATTCTTTCAAATCAAGATTCATAATGAAAATGGTATGTGACTTTTTTGGGTTAACTTCTATAAACAATCTACATGTTTTTGGTGTAGAATTCACCAATCTCTGTTCAGTATTCCATTTCGATATGTAAAACCACACTAATGAATTTAAGCAGTACTCCATACCTTGCAAGCAACCTCAATCTTCATTGGATTGTTTCCAAACAGGGTAGGCACAGGTAAATCAGCTATACATAAAGATCCTGACTTTTCACGACGATGGAGGAATTTTGTTACTTCCATCTGAAGCTCAACTGTACTGATGTGCCTAATTTAGGGAAAATATGTTTCAGTGCATATTCTAATAAATAAATCCAAAGGAGAAATTTTAGATGATATTCAAAACATGAATTAGAAACCCTCATTAAAGTTAGCCTTTCAGGTAAGTCTGTGTGCTCTCACAGAAAAATCCTGAATTATATCTTATTACATTATTACTAAATAGTTTAATAACACATGGTTGAGTGATAAAAATGTTGTCCAACATTGTTTTGTGAATACCTTGATACATCAGGAGCAGACATTTTCTTGCGAAAAGAGCATGCAAATTTTTTTCTTCCTGAACTCCTAGAAACTTCTTGAAGGTAAACTTTAAGATGGTCTTTGACCTTTAAGAGCCATTTTTGCCTTTCTTTCAACTCAGTATAAGACTTTGCCTTGTCTGTGAAAAATCTAATGCAGGTCATAGCAGCACGAACTTGATCCTGGAAAACAGATAGACTTCTGAACACAAATGAAGCTTTCAAATTATATTATCTGGTCAGTGAGATGACATTTGGGCTATAATATTAAAAAAAACAGGTTCTGGGACTGATTTTAAGTTTAGGGAGCCTCTGCTTAACAGATTTTACTATACAGTAGAATCTGTATCTGCTCAGAAAACTGTACATATATTAGATACTTCATGCAATCCCCTGTCTCCATTGTAAATACTGAGAAGGAGGAAAGTGATACCCAGAACTCTTTGTAACTCATTTATGGCATTGTTATCTTTTTGTCCTTTCCAAAAAAAACTATTTAAAGAGGAAAAAATTCTAGAAGATGCTCAAAAGGAAGCCTCATTTGACTTTTGTCTTTTTAAATTCAGAGAATCCTCAAATATACAGGAATATGCATAAATGAACTTATGGCATAAGTCCACCATTCATAAAATATTTCTGAGGCCATGAGACTACTTAGCCTTTAAATTTTTTGTCTGCAGCAGTTTTTCCCAACCTAAGGTAACTCCATCATCCATAGGTATTTTTTTTAGTGGGAATAACTTTGAAAAATCCTTCCAAATAAACAAAAGTGTACATTCTAAAAAACGTAATATAAAATCTCCATTTTGTACAAAACAACAGTCCTGTGAGGTGGATTAGGCTGAGACAGACTAGCTTAAAGTCATCTAATTGGCTTTCATACCTACAGGTGAACTTGCGGTCTCCTGCTTGCTAGGCCAACACCTAATTACTACAACTAACTGGCTAAGTGCTGTATTTTTTTTTTAAATAAAATTTTCAGTAATTTTTGCAATGTTTATGTTATAGGAAGAAATTTCAACTCTTACCTTCATAAACTGCTGCACTTCATACAAGATATGGTAATAATTCTTTTTCTGCAAGTGTTTGCAGGCTGCAATGAGATAGACACCCCAGCTCTCTAGTCCTGGATCTATGGTTTCCAGCAAGTTCTCCAACATGTGAAGTTTTCCACTTTTATAACTTGGGATAAAGATGCCTTCAATGAATACATCTGGTGGACTTTCCTTAAACAGTAAAAAAAACCCTATTAAATCATCTATGCCATTAGTCTGAGAAAAAAAGCTTACATGGTCAGAATGTTGTTAGTTACATACTGTTCATAAACAGAAGACCATTTTTCTCACTATCAAAATGTTTTTTATGTGAAAGTGAGCACAGCCACTGCTGAAACATTCCCAATTCAACAGAACCTTAGATTCTAAACAATCAATGAGTAAGTGTAATCCCAGGATACCTGCCGAGCATTAGGTAGGAGAAGCCTAAAAGAAGCAAGCTAAACAGAACCTTCTCCTGGTTTCTGTGAAGAGTTTCTGAAGAGTCTGCAGTTCTAACAGTGAGAAATAAAACTTCTCAGGTGATATGTCTCTTAGCACTCCTATTTCTTTTGTTACCTATTGTGTATCTGCTTATAGCTACAGCCGCCCCTTAGAAGGAGAGACATTTTTATGAAGTAATGGGTTCTCTCTAAGGTAGAAACAAATGGCAGGGTTTCTTCCTAGATAATGACAACAAGATAACAAGATTATGTTCTATATTTATGGTCAACTTTTTTAGATAGACTAGACCAGGGGTCTGCAACCTTAAACACTCAAAGAGCCACTTGGACCCGTTTCCCAGAGAAAAGAAAACACTGGGAACTGCAAAACTTGCGCGTGCACACGCGCGCACACATAAGGGGCTTGATTGAAGAGTTTAATTAAAAAAAATAGAGGCTGCTGTGCATGAGTTCTCTCTCTCTCTCTCTCTCTTTCCTCTCCCTCTCCCTCTCTTTCCTTTCCCTCTCTTTCCCTCTTTCCTCTCCCTCTTTCCCTCTTTCCTCTCCCTCTTTCTTTTCTGTCTTTCTCTTTCTCTCTCTCCCTCTTTCCTCTCCCTCTCTTTCTCTCCCTTTCCTCTCCCCCTTTCTCTCCCTCTCTCTCCTTTCCCTCTCTTCCCCTTTTTCTTTCTCCCTCTCTTTCTCTCTCTCTCTCTTTCCTCTCCCTCCCCCTCTCTTTCTCTTTCCTTTTTCTCTCCCCTCTCCCCCTCTATCTCTCCCTCTTTCTCTCTCCCTCTCCCTCCTCCCTCTCTCTCTCTCTCCCCCTTTCCTCTTTCTCTCTCCCTCTCTGTCTCTATTTCTCTCTCTTTTCTCTCCCCCCCTCTCTCTCTCCTCTCTCCTCTCTTCTGCTCACCTGGCAAGCTGGCTTCAGGCTGTTCTCCAACAAGCTGACACACATTCTCTCCTGCCCTTGCTGCTTCCTTCTTCCTGCTGAGACGCAGCCAAGGCAGGAGTCAGCTCCTCGGAGAACAGGGTGAGGCAACTCTCTTTTTTACACACACACACACACACACACACACAGAGAGAGAGAGAGAGAGAGAGAGAGAGAGAGAGAGAGAGAGAGAGAGAGAGAGAGAGAGAGAGAGAGAGAGAGAGAGAGAGAGAGGGGTTGCTGACCCATGGACTAGACCAATCAATCAATCAATAGGAACCACAGGAAAGCTAAAAATACTTTTATCGACCTTGGCTATATCAACTTGCAAGTCAGATTCTTGTGGAACACCTCCTCCTGCTTATAGTTTGATGACTTAGGTATCTGCTTCAGCTGCATTCAAATGTTATCTCATTGTGCACTTGAAGAAGGGTTTAGCTTCTTTTGCCTAAGCCTTGAGGATGTCATAGAAACATATACCTCATTGGAGAAGAAGAGTTCCAAAAGATTCAACAGCAACAAACTAAATAAATCAGCTTCATCCTTCTAATATTATTTTTTATTCTATTCTCCAACACACTTTAACAGCTTGATTAGAGAAATAACAACAGGTAATAAAATCAGCACTAAGGGAAAGGACAGCTCCTACCAACTAGGTTCTTAATTCAAAATACTCATTCAGACAAGCTTTTCCGTCCAAGAATTTAAATTTATATGTGCATGTGATACCTGAACACAGGTTTTAGTTCAAGGGAAAGTGGTATCACCCAAAGAACTCTTTTATACCAATGAAAATTTGGGCAAACAAAAAGTTTGATTAAAACGCACATTTTTTGTTTTTTTCAGTTTTCTTGTCATTTAGATTGGTGTTTTAACAGAGTATACTTAAATTGTTTAAGGATAACTGTAATTATACACTCTTGAAATTTTCAAGTGGTAATTTGATTAAGTATAAGTTCAATAAATGAATAAATAAACACTTGATGGACTTGTTGCCCCCTCTCCCATTCCCACGGGTCATTCCCTACGAAAATTGCAAGGGTTAACAAAAACAAGTTTATAACCAATAGAATATATGAGATTATGAAACATGTTCGGATCAACTTACAGACATGGATTTATTTTTTAAGTCTTTAACCAGATTCCAGTAGAATGCAGTTTTCCTACCTTATTTAACAAATGCAGCAGAGCTTCCCGCATACAATCATGCCTCATATAAAAACTAATGATTGCTAGATTGGTGCCATAATTGTGCAAATAGAAAAGGCATTCTTGATAATAGCTGTTGTGTTGCATCTTCCCCTCTGGCGTCATCTCCAGAGAGAGGCTTCGTGTCCTCAGCGTTGCTTCCAGTTCTCTCAGCGTGGCCAAATAGTCATCGTCCTGCTATTAAGCGAGAGAATCAGAAGTCACAGGTTGAACTCAGAATATGTATTGACAGAAAACTGAAAAGCATTTTCCTCCTTGAGGAAATGGGCCAAGTACCTCACAACTGCTATGAAAAAAAAAAAAAAACCCCCAGAGATCTGAAACTCTTTGTGAAGCAGAGCAGAAACTTCACGAGAAAAAGTGGTAGGAAGTAACTTCCTCATTCCCAAATCTCTCTGAATGGGAGATTTCTAATTATTTTTCTCTTAGGCAGGAAATCTGTCATATTTTGACAAACTGGCAGGTTTTAGTAATCAGCCATGTCTTGTTTTTATATTCAACTGCACATTTTTACTGTAATTAACAACTGATTAATCTGCTATACAGCTAATTAAAGCAAACATCCCAAGACAATGTATTAAATTTATATCACAGCCTTCCACAAATAGCTCATAGAAACCACACAGAAACACAGTTGTTGTCTTGCCTTTTGTCTTAACAACCCAGTGAAGGCTGGATATTCAATGCTGCCCCTATCCCCTCAACAGGAATACAGCCTTACCACTGAAAGAATGGGTTTCACTGTGGTTTCTAAATACTGAAGTACTTCCTGGACCAGACGGGAACCCAGACTGAGCTGATTCAAGTCAAGAGGTGATTTTAAGCATCGACTGAACTTTTCTTTGGCAGCAGTCAGATTTCCAGCTTTAAGGCAAGCCATGCCCCACGCATGCCATGCTCCACCTGGGTCCAGGCCAGTCTTGGTAGAAACCTAAAAACCAGGTTACCCCAAAGAAGACAGAAAATATTTTTTTATTTTTACTATGGTTAAGTTTTTTAAAAAAAAATATACAGACCAAGACAACTATAATAGCATTTCATAAGCACTGTCCATATATATCAGAAGTTTATACTTTTATGGATAGAACAAAAACCTACTGATCATCATTAGAGGCACCCTTTGCCTAATAAAGGTTAGAAATGTACAATTTTCTGTAAAAAGAAAAAAAAATCACACTGAGAATTTCTGTTCAGAATATAAGATTTTCTTCTCACCCAAGAAGCATTTGTTTTATTGAAACTCGGATGTCAGAATACCCTTTTCATTAAAAAAAAGGAACTTTTTCAAGAGCATTAGGGCTAAGTCACAATTTATAGGAAAAGGACTGTAGCTTAGAGGCTGAGCACATAGTAAAATCCCAGAGTTCAAATGTTGGCATGTTAAGGTAGAGGCAAGACAGCGTTCTGCAACAAGCTCCAATTTTTTTTTGCCAATTAGTAAAAAAAAATACAAATTAGATGAACCACTAGTAAGATAAGAAATACAATTAATCATGACTGTCTACATTATTAACTGTGGAAATCATATCACAGCCTTCTCCAGTCAGAATTAAGAGGACCCCAGATTGGGAAAGGCTAGCCTAGAAAGTTAACTACCACTGGGACTGTAAAGTTTTCAACTACTCAATTAAGTGAGTATAAATGATTATAAAGGAAGCTGATTAATAAATTATACCTGAATAGGAATAGCATGGTATCAGAAATTCAATCTTACACAGCCTTTTCAAATATTGAGGAGGTATTGGATAATTTACAGTTTAAGATACATAGTTCACTCTTAGCAGAAAAGTGATATCTAATACACTTTACAATTTATAATGGGACAATAAATGTCTTAAAGAACTTACAGACCCAATTATTCAAAATAATATTTGATCAGTTAGTTGTACTGTATTAATCTATTTATTACTTTGTAGTAATAATTAGTTTTTGTTAATCTCTAGAATCAAAACCAACAAATATTTCCAAGGCTGAAAACTTAATTCAAAATCCTTGATAGGAAAGAGAATGAAGATAAAACTCTTTTCCATAGAGATGCCTTTCCACTAAAGATAGAAGTATGTTAAGGAATCCATAGTCCAGTGGTTCTCAACCTTTTTAATGCCGCGACCCCAACCGGTCATAAGTCGAGGACTAAACCGGTCGTAAGTCGAGGACTAAACCGGTCGTAAGTCGAGGACTACCCAACCGGTTGTAAGTCGAGGACTTTCCCTGCCCGGGAGCGCCGCGCATGTGTGGTTCCGCCCCCTGCGCCGGCCGAGGCGTGGCTGGCAAGCGGCAGAGACGGAGCAGGCCGACCACCAGCTGGCCCAGCCCAAGGGAGGTAAGGCACCTGCCGGAAAAGGGGGGAAAAAATGGCGGACAAAAAAAATGGCGGACAGCCTTGCTTGGCGACCCCCGTGAAATGGTCGATCGACCCCAAATGGGGTCCCGACCCACAGGTTGAGAACCACTGCCATAGTCTATGCTTCACAATTACATCATTCCAACAGTGTTACCTCTACAGACAGTTGATAGTATTCTGCTTGCAAAAGTTGATTTCTTAGCCTACTAACTGCTGCAGGCTCTAATATCTGATCCAGAGATGGAACATGATGATAAGCAGCAGCTACTAAAATGTTCAACACATCCACCTTGCTGAGGTAACTGGTGTGGGAAGAAAAAAGGGAAACAAATGAAAGGCATTTGATTCATTTCACTCAGTTTAGTTTTTGAAAGTTTCAATTGTACTTTAATTTCAAAAGGAAACTTGTAACTCAAAAGAGGCAAAGGTTATGCCATTTTTTCTTTCTCAGGCTATCTCCTGAAAACAGCTCACAGTTTATCCAAAATAGCACACAATTAGGGCCTCACATCATGATTTTATTCTTGTGAGAAGAAATCCCAGGTGTAACATTTTTTTTTTCATATTGGCTAATTTTGAGGCAATATTTTTCCAAAGAGGTAGCTATCTTTGTTTGTTTTTGGAAAGAAAACTAAATCTTCAGATTTCTTCTTAAGACTAAATATAACAGGCTCCATTTTATTAGATGCATAGATGGTTCAGTTCTGTAGCGGTTCAACATAAATATGCGCTAAAATCAAAAGCCCGGGACAGATAATAGCAACTAAATTGGCTGAAAGTGAGCAAGTCAGTGTATTGTTTCGATCTTTCTTCAAAAGTTTGCACAAATATATTCTGTCACATGGCAAAGCAGGTTTGGACATTTTTAAAATATATAAGTCATAAACTCTGCACACAACCCTTTAAATATAATAAACAGCATAAAACATACAAGGGCATTATTTGTGAGACTGCTTGTGATTTGTTTTGCAAAAAATCTACAAAAAGGTTAATTAGCAACACATCATTACAATGAAAAGATTTTTCAAAAGGCCTACTGAAATCTTACCTATCACAAAGAGCTAACTCCTGGTTCCTCCCAGCTTTTACAAACATCATTTTGGCACTGAAAAGCAACTGTTTCATGATATCTATGAGGAGACCAGCATCCACTTCAGGGTTTGCCAGGCTTCGAGACAATTTGCAGCAATAGTCTATCAACTGCTGACCACAGGAAATGCTGTCAGAATGCAGTTTGAAGATGGCAATACACAAGGATGCACTAGGAGCCTGAATATTAGAACAGGGAAAGAAATAAAGAAAAAAGTGTGACTCTCTCTGCTTCTGGATGGAGCCAAAAGAGCTCCATATAGATTAGGGCAGTGATGGTGAACCTTTTAGAGACTGAGTGCCCAAACTGCAGCCCAAAACCCACTTATGTATTGTCGGATGCCGGGTGGGTAGGTGTGGCCCATTGGGTGGGCATGGCCCATTGGGTGGGCGTGGCTGCGGTGGTAACGGCAGACTGGGTGGGACTAAAAAGTTCAATTAATCAATTCCAACTGCGAGATTTTTTTTCCCCGCGAGAAGTTGAAATTGATTGATTGAACCTTTTTTTTTTTTTGCACACGGTGGCGGAGGCCCAAAGCGAAAAGGTTTTATAAAACCCAGCTGAAGGCCTAGGACTGGGGCGATGGTGTGCGTGCCCACAGAGAGGGCTCCGCGTGCCACCTGTGGCACACGTGCCATAGGTTCGCCACCACGGGATTAGGGAGAACAAGTCATGAGACAAAGCCCAACACAGTAACAGAATATTCTCTACTTTAAAAGGCAAGGAAGTAATCATTTTTCACTCTAGTTTCAGAGAGATGGGCCTCTTTGTCTATTGTCTCTCATCCATCCATCCATCCATCCATCTAGTTTACTCCCACCTCAGTCCAGATGGACCTTAAGACACTTTACAAAAAATAAAACATAACAAACCAATAATCAACAATATTCAACTGTTCTGCAATGCAATAATCTAGAGATCTGGCAAATCCATTGTCCACTCCTTGAAAATTATCGTTTCAGTAATTTCCTAAAACCTCAGTAATGTCCCTTGTTCTTTTTCCACCTGTCACAGGAAAAGCAATTTAGGAAAACTTACTTACCTGTTCATAAAAGAATTCACCGCGCACCATTTTATTGTCTTCTTCCATCAAAGAAAGCTGCCATTCAAATTCTGTTGGCTTTGGTATTTGTACCACTGCAGAGTAATCTGGGCATTCATTATCAGAAGATACAACTGCTATGAACAGCAAGAAAAAACACCCTTTAAGATGAGCTCAGGTTAAGAAACCACATTCCACAAGAGCTCAGGAATCTGGAGGAAGAATACACCTTGATAGGTGCGTTTTAAGGTGTTAGTTACCACCTTTAAAACGCTCCATGGCATTGGACCTGGTTACCTCCGAGACCGCCTTCTGCCACAGATTTCCTCCCACAGACCGGTACGCTCCCACAGAGTGGGTCTCCTCAGGGTGCCGTCGGCCAAACAATGTCGGCTGGCGACCCCCAGGGGAAGGGCCTTCTCTGTGGGTGCCCCNAATAAATAAATAAATAAATAAATAGGAAAGTAACTTGGCATACAGTCTTTCTTTCCTTAAACATTAAACTTTTATATTTTTTCTCCTATTGCAATGGGCATATTTTCTTATTGCATATTTCAAAAACTCCCCCAATCCCCCGACATACTCTGCCTTTAAAAAAATCTGACTTTGACATCAGCACTGTAATTTTCATGTTATTCCAGGAATAAAACACTAAAAGGGACAGGATGGCTAAATTCCTAGCAGTTTTTTTTTACTTCATTACTGACTTCACTGATCAAGTGACAAAAATGCTATCTATTTCTATTTCTCTTGAGTTTATTCTGATGATATTTTCTTGCACTATTTTGTTACTAGCAGCCTTGTTATTACAGCATTTATTTGGTTAGTGGTCTCTGTATAAAAAGTATTTTTAGACTAAGGGGGGGATCTTTAACCAAGTGTAAAGAATCATAACCAATTAACCAGTGGAACAACCTGCCTCCAGAAGTGGTGAATGCGCCAACACTGGAAGTTTTTAAGAAGAAACTAGACAGCCATTTGTCCGAAACGGTATAGGGTTTCCTGCCTGAGCAGGGGGTTGGACTAGATGACCTCCAAGGTCCCTTCCAACTTTATCATCATCATCATCATCGTCGTTGTCGTTATTATTATTATTATTATTATTATTATTATTATTATTATTATTATTATTATTATTATTATTACTACTATATCTCAGCTTTCTGACCTTGAAATATTTTTAGGAGGCAACTAGTTTAATTTATATTTTCATCCATTTTATTAGTCCTGCAGCAACATAGACTAGGTTTACAATTCTATTACAATGGGGTTGTTAAAATGCAACAAGGTTTTTCTTGCATCTTTTTTTTTGTTACCTATGGGCATGTACCAGAGAGAGCTGTAGGATTATGAACATGTCCTTATTATGTGTTCTCACCTTCTTGATTCTGATCCTCTTCATTGGAACTATTAAAAAGAAAAGAAAGATGCTTCACATCCATGCTAATAAGTTTGGAAAACTTATAAAATTTGAATACCGCAATCAGTAGCTAATGAAATTAAATCATGTTTTCTTACATATTGATTCCTTCGCTAAAAAAACTCCTGGCAATTAAGACTATACAAAGCCCATGAACACAGCAGCTCTCCTGGAAGCATCATAGCAATTGTTTGAAGATTAGCCTCTAGTTCAGTGGCACCAGGGACCAGTTCCATGGAGAGAGGTTTTTCCACGGACCGGAGCGAGCATGGTTTCATATGCTGCTTGCATGCCACAGATAGGGCTTTGCTTATTTGCACAGCCCAGTTTCTGGCATGTTGCAGCCCAGTGCGGGTCCACAGACTGGGGGTTGGGGACCCCTGCTCTAGCTGTATGCACAATCACTAGAGCAGGGGTGTCAAACTGCCAGCCCGCGGGCCAGATGCATCATAGTGAAACCGCACCCACCCCATTGCCAGCAATGGCAAAAAAGTCATATGTCGTGACACGTCAAGTGACGTTGCGAGTTTGACACCCCTGCACTAGAGAAACCAAATACATGTACCTCTTTTAATTGTTTGCATTGTCCTATTAATAGTTTCTTCTTAAGTAGAAGGGGAAATGTCTGCAGGTTGTTAACATCAACTAATTAATTTCACACTATAATTCAATTTGCCTCAAGCTGAAGAATGACAGTATAGATGTTTAAGAGCATATTTGTACTGTCACTTTTTATTTTACATCAGAAGGGGAGAGTACTGTAATATTTTTAGCATTGTTTTATGAATTAATCTTGTTGATTTGTAGTTTTATGTCCATTCAGATTGTCTCAGAAAAGGCAAGACAAGATTTGTACATAAATAAATGTATTTTGGGAAGAAGAGATCTCTTTTCATGATTCTAACATTCTATCAGTGGACTCATAAAAAAGCCTCTAACATGTTCATTCTTCTTCTTTGCCAAGCTCTTAAACAATGCCCATTTTATTCATGAACTAGCAGAACCAATATTCACAAACCAAACCAAAAAAAACAAAAAAAAAGGAAAAATGTGAAGAAGTATGTTCCTGCACAAAATGTAGCCATTTAAAAAATAACAAAAAACCTAATTTTTATAGACAACAATAAAAACAATATACAGTTTTTCCCCCAAACCCGGTGCCTTATAAACTAAAGTCTGCAGAATCCCTTGTCACTAGAGTCATCAGGAATTAAGGAATCTGCTATAAAACCGGTTCTCACACTGAGAACTATTTTTTCAAAGAACAGAAAGATGTGAAAAAATTCTTTACACACATTTCTGAGTCATGGGATGTAGTTGTTGAATAATCCTTGTTGAAATAACTGTAGCACTGATCACACACACGAGCTGAGTTTTCCTTACAAGCTTCCACAACCATTCTATTGGTAGAACAGGAACTGCACACCAGTCGCCCACAACGTCTGCAGTGATGCCTCCTATTAAACTGAGACATAAAAGAAGACATTTGAATGAGCAACAGCATTCCTGCAGTTACTGTTTAATCCATATAAGAAATCTAATCTTGGGATCTTTTGCAAGCAGTGATCATTTTGACTGAAAAAGTACTATATAAAGTTCTCCAAAGACATTAGATAAATACTTATTCAATATACTTATTTTGTTATACATTCACGTCCAGTTCTGAAATTCAATTACCATTGTAAAGCGTTCTGTTTTGCAAACCATGCATGTGACTTCAGTGTCATCTGGGATCCACTGCTGTTTTGGTGGGGGCTTCTCTGGTGGCACAAAGTCCTGCGCAGAGGCAGCTTGCTGGAGACTTTTCTCTCTTGGGCTGGAAGCATGCGCTGTATCTAAAAGATACAGAAGAGGCAAACGAAAGCCAGTGTAAAATTGAATTGCTGCTATCATAAAGACCAGATAATGCATTGGATGTTCTATTACAGACGACATTGTCCTTAAAAAAATCTGTGCCCCATCACCAACGGAAAGAAGGCTCAGATCTCCAATCATATAAGATTGTCTTGCAGACAATATATACCAATATACGCTCCATCAGCATAGCATTTATATTTATTTGAATGGAAGAGTAGGTTTTCCTCCAAATCAATCTTACAAATGTTTAAAAAAAATCACAGGAAATGTGACAATAGAAGCAAACTACTTGTTCCTCCCTAAACATTCCTTTTTGCAGAGTTAAGGGGCAATTTGATTTGATTCATCTAGTTTTTAAGAAAAGGAAATGTACGTTTGCATATACATAGGAAATTGGCATATTGGAAAACTTTTCTCTTTGTCAGCAACAAAATTTGCGAAACTGTAATATTAACTTATCAAGGTTTTGCTTGGAAACAACCCAACTGATAACTGGAGAATTACATGTTAACACTTAAGTGAAAAGTACAGGCTTCCCAGAAAAACAAATATGTTTTTGTTTTGTTATCTACTGTCCGGAAAATTAAGAAATTTACAAAGAGTTAAAAATTGTTCCAGATCAGTTAAAAGCTACTGAGATACATCATGAAAAAAAATGTACTTTAACCCATTGGTGGATTCTCCACTCGTCATACTGGAGAAATAATGTTTTTACAAAAATCTGAACATCACCGCTTTTACCCTCAGATGGAGGCCTCAAAATCCTTCATAGGAAAATTGATAAGAAATAACATTAACAGTTGTGTTATTATTACATTGCTGTTGCTTTATTGAATTTAAATACTTGCTGACTCCAGATCAATTCTGGGTGGCTCACAACATAGTAAGGTAAGATAACCATGCAGTAAAATGCAGAGAATAGAAAACAAGCTAGTGAACTCAATCAACATCGAAAAGAAATACAAACATATCCACCAAGTCGCTCTAAATATCTTAATCCAAGGCCTGAGAGAACAGCCAGGTCCTTAAGGACTTGGGATTACAGCACCAGATTGTATAAATAGCTATATTTTTTTCCTCTACAGCCCTAAAAGCAAATAGGAAAAGAAAAAGAAAAAGAAAAGAGAAAGAAAAGAGTTTGGGTGTTAAATCTTTCTCTCACCAGGAGAACTAGCTGGAAAATGCTCTGTTGACTCTGACTTAGATAAGGTATCAGATTCAGATCCCTGACACAAGCTCTCTCGAATCAGAGTAAGAGAATCTAAGACAAAAAGAAAATGCTGTTAAGAAATTAAGCAATTTATATTTATCTGCAAAGATTAGGTAAACTGATTCAAGAAACAATTGCTCAAACTTGTTCAAAAGCTCATGTGACAGAAGTGACAAAAGATTTTGTACAGATTGCAGATAAATAAGATAAAATAACCTTGTCACTTTTTTCTGTGAACACATGGATACACATTAAAAAATGAAATTCTGATACCCGCTCTCAGAAGAAAATATATAACCATACACATACACATACATGCACACACACGTGCATACGTATGCATACCCGCCCTGAGTCCGCAAGGAGAAGGGCGGGATATAAATTCAAATAATAAATAAATAAATAATAAATAAATAAATAAATAAATAATCAAATCTATGGTTTAGATCTGTCTCCAAGTAGTAAAAAGAAGATTGATGTGTAGGGATTTCTATATACTTTTTAATGCATTGTTGCCTAAACATTCTTTAGTTTCAATTTATTTCTTTTGGTTTTATAAATGCAGGCTGTGCTATATAAGAAGCAATAACAGTAGTGACTTCTGTTGCAATAAAGTTAGCTGTTTCAAAGAACATGAGATAGAATAAGTATTAGTTTCTATCTCAGGTCCCAGCACCTGAGATAATTTTCTCAATTTTCAGAGTAGTTCAACTCCCATGGTTCACGTGCCTACTCAACTATTGTTGAGAGCTTTGTGTGATAAAGCCTGTTCTGCAAGGTTTTAAGATTGAGTAAAGTGGCTCTATGACAGTTAAGGAGCACGTAAGCCAATTGTTTTCCCATACTAGTCACATTTTGAGGATTTTTATCTTTAGGATTAAAGTGGGAAAAATAATCTGGGTGAAGAGAAAAGTCTGACTTATTTAACTTTCTGCAATACAAAGCAGAAAACAGCAATACTAATGAAATAGAAAACTTGGAAAAAAATGAACCATGAGTATAGAAAAAACACAAATGTGGTACTCTCTGTTTACTCTCTATATATTAACAATTCTGAAAATAGACTGAAAAGCTGTCTGTGGTTTTCCAGTGGTGCCATAAAGACTTGGTTTTTCACCATCACCTGATCTCTTCTCTTTTAGAGAAAATGGAAAGTCAAGAGCTTTTCCAGCATAGTTGGAGAGCAATGTGTCGATGTCTTCTGTGCTGAAGCCTATCTTCTGACCAACCAAGAGCTGGTGCAACATCTGCACAGCCACAGCTGCCCAATCCACTTTCATGTTCATCAATAGCTGTTCCAGCATGAGCAGGGGCTTGCAGGAGAGGTGGGAATAGTTAGATCGGGAAGGCTCAGGAAGAGTCAGCAATACCTTGAAAAAGGAGACAAAGTAATACAGCATCTTGACCTACTGAGAAAAGAACTTGCAACTCAAGAGTAAAGAACAATAGTTGTGCAGCAAGTTCTTGAAATTGTTCTCTGCTACTTACCTTGGATCCCACGTAAAGAGCTTGAATTTCATTCTGGCGCATAACTGTCAGGTGTTGGTTGAAGTATGTTGTGAGATAATCCGCAAGAAAATGAGAAGCTGCTAAGCTAGGATATGTATCAAGACACCGTTCACTTATGACAAACTGAATGTCTGGATCATCTATCCTTTGCAAGAGCTACAAAAAATATACACACATATACACGTGAAATAGATTTTAATGGACCATATCAACACAATATATTGTGCTGCCTAGACAGATCTACCGTATCCCTTTCTAAGACAAACACTTTTCAAAGTCTTACACAGTTTGGGCAATAATTTCTGCCTTAATCAGTTTCCTCCACCATGTCACAATTACTTGAAGAAAATTCTTTCACCCTCCTGCATACATACAATGACTAGTTTGTTAGAGTTATGCTGCAAAATCAAAATACTTAATACACATTCAAATAGCTTCTTTGTAAAATAACAATGTATATACAAAGAAAGTCTAGCAAAATTGATTCATACACACACACAAATAGGTTATGGACTAAAACATATCTTCATCTATTACTACTTAATTGAGACCACAATTCTCTCTAAGGACACATGCCAAAATAAGCATAGTAAAACTAAGGATAGTTATTGCCAATAACTGTTATGACTGGTCATCAAGCATATTTCATAGCCCCAAGTCTTGCATTTCCCTCTGCTTGTAGCATTACAAGTTCATAATCACTGTCACAAACTTTTGTCTCACAGGTTCATCGCTCTGAAAATTAGCTCAATATTTTGCCTTCCTAATGAAATATTTACAAATTGCTCAACATCTTAGGGCAGCACAGCAGCAACCTCATCCTGCTTCATATCCAAAGTCAACATTTTGGCCTTTGAAGAAAAAAACAAAGCAGCACCCAATCTTAGAAGCAGACGTCCTTTTTTGGCACAAAAGGAAGAATCCTGGAATACCTGAGAGACCAGTTACCTGGAGAGCTTTTTCCATATCTCCCATTTCCAACAAATGAAGGAGGTGCTCCTGGTGAAGGCTGATCAAATGATCCCTTGGGACAGAATATAAGCGGCCCCATTCTTCACATAATTCATAATCCTGCAATAAAAATAAAGAGCACTTAAAGACTGTAATTTGAAAAGGGTAAAACCAAAAGTATTTGGCAAGGCTATCCATTCATTCTGCAGATGGCCTTCCCCTGGCTGCTATCCTTCAGTTGTACCTGATGGGACTTCCTATTCCCAGACAGCAGGTAGACCAGCGGTTCTCAACCTATGGGTCGCGACCCCATTTGGGGTCGATCGACCATTTCACGGGGGTCGCCAAGCAAGGCTGTCCGCCATTTTTTCCTTTTCCGGCGGGTGCCTTACCTCTCTTGGGCTGGGCCAGCTGGTGGTCGGCCTGCTCCGTCTCTGCCGCTTGCCAGCTACTCCTCGGCCGGCGCAGGGGGCGGAACCACGCATGCGCGGCGCTCCTGGGCAGGGAAAGTCCTCGACTTACGACCAGTTGGGTAATCCTTGACTTACGACCGGTTTAGTCCTCGACTTACGACCGGTTGGGGGTCGCAGCATTAAAAAGGTTGAGAACCACTGATGTAGACCGACATAACTGGATTTAGAATGATGTTATTTCTCTAACTGTTAAGGTCAGACTCTCTACTCCTGGCAAATGCCTAGATCAGTCCCTTCAGTTTGCTTGCCAAGTTTTCTTGAAAATGGTTTGCCACTATTTTCTTCTCAAGGCTGAGAGAGGCATGACTGGCCTAAAATCACCCAGCTGGCTTTGTGCCCAAGGTAGGGCTAGAATTTATGGCCTCCCACTTTCTAGCCTAGTGCATTTAACCACTACCTTAAACTACTTCCTTAGTTCTTTTCTGCAACAGAATTGTTATATGGGCTAAAGAGAAAGCTCTGCCTTTTGCCTTTTTAGAAATAGTTGACCACAGTAAAGAAAGGGATGCTGAAATAAATGGAATTATTTCCGGACAGAGAATACACGAGAACAAGCCTCTAAGAGAAAAGTACTTAACACGGCTGCAAATGTCCTACCTTTGCTTCTAAAATCATTGCCACAATGGCCTGGGGATCTTCTGTACAGGTCCTCTTCAGAGCTTGCCAGTCGTGCCAGATGTGGACAGTCTGTAGTCTAAGAATCTGATAATTCAAATCAAGTAGAACTGAACAAGCCCTGTTATAAAAATTATTCTGCAAGGCTGGCGAGTACCTGGATTTCTTTATTAGTTAAGTTAGTCTCTCCTTACAGCTTCTTCCAAGTTCTGTTACCTCCAGAGCTGTCAGGCTCAAGAGATAAGGAGCCTCTGGTCTCTCCTTTTCAATGCAAATAACCTTTCCATTCCTTCAATGCAATTAACCCTTCACTCTCCCTAGTCAGGTGACCAGCTTCCTCTTCCCATCAGTAGGTTTATCGCACGCAGTTTGGGAAACAGAGAGTACCCCTCATTCCATTCATACTTATATGAATTCACAGATCTCAGGCCTCACGATCTATTGCCTTAGCACTGCATCCTGGCTCCAGATGCAGGGGGGAGCCTAGTAGTATGAACTTGAGTGCTAAAGAACCCACAGTTACAGACATCTTATGATGAAGTGCCTCTCCTGCCACTATCTGTTATGGCTGATCCGAATGAGAGTTCCCCTGTGTGAATATGCTGCTCCTATTGCTTAATAAAGTTTTATATGTTGCTGCAATCCTGGCATCTTTTGTTCCTGGTGGGGAGCTATTGCCTTTCCACAAACAGGCACTTAGGCTCAATTTTTTCTTTCTTTTCAAAATGACATCTGAACAGCTGCCCCAGGAACAAGTCTAAATTAGAAATGAGCAACTTCTCATAAGCAGAAATAGTTATCACTGAATTTTTTTCTTTAGTAGTACCATCGGTGTATACTACATTTTCCATCCATACATATGTACAGTATATAAACTAAATCTGACTATAAGAATAAAGGAGACAAGAAAATGAAGACAGAACAGTGGAACTGTCCCCTGTGCCCCTCACTGAAAAAAACCTCCAACCCAGAGATCCTATCAAGTAGTAACCAAGTAATTTCCACTACCTTTAAAGCTAATATGAGAAAACAAGGAAATTGCATCTTAGGGTACTTCATCGTTCAAGAAAATAACTTCCTGAAGGACACATTAGAAGCACAACATTAGAAATATGCATTCTGGCCAATAATACATCTAAGTGTTGAAACAGTGGCTTCCAATCACTGACTTATTACAGTCAGTCACTCTTACTCAACTTAGCCAACCTCGCAGAATTGCTACTGTGGGGAAAATTGGAGGAGAGTGTTATGACACCCACCTTGAGCTCTTAAGAGAACAGGCATAAATATTCCAACACAGACCTTGTGGAGAGCGCTTGCCTAATAGGCTTTCCCTTTAATAGGAAGCAAGCAGATTGTGCAGAGAATAGCAGTAACTAAATAACATTGAAGAATTATTCTGAAGTAAATGCTAGTGGAGCTGATGCCCAGCCATCATAGTCTCTGCTTGGTCAAACCCAGTTTACTCAAGGTAACAATGTTTATTCTGTATACTGGTATAAGGAATCTCCTTGAATAACTAATATGTGTATGTTTATTCTGCCTTTTTTTCTTTTCTGGTGAAGTGTTCAGTAGCCATTGTCCTTTTTTTATGAAATCAAGGAGCAGTTTATTAACTCTCTTCAGCTTCTTGGCAATTTTACTTGAGATAGTTACTGAACAACCTCTTCTCCACAGGCTCTAGAAAGTTTATGCCCAATAAACAGAAGCAACAAAGAACAGATGCCTCAAGTATTTTCCACATTCATCTCAAAAATGGAACAAGTGCACGATGAGCAGCAGAAGAGGCAGCCAGGCATGCTTCTCAAAACCGAAGGAGCTTTGATGCGCACGCACACACACACACACACAAAATGTTATTTCCACATTCAGCAAGAGAAAGGGACAAAGGAACTCAGAGAAGTACTCTATCCCAAATGCGATCGATGCCTCCATACCTTTTGATAAACTTGAAGCTCCTTGATCTTGCCCTGCAGATCAAATCTGAGATCTTCAATTACTTCGGGGTCACAGGCACAATAAGCTAATATTTCCAGACAAGCCTCCAGAGGCCATCTATCTAGACACCGAAGGGCCAGTCTGCTCCTCAGCACTGCATCTCTCACTGGAAACAGGTATTGCCACCCATCCTCATCTGAAAAGGAGGCATTTTTCAAAGACAGAGAAGTAGACTCAGGGCATTTTAGCAATGAAGGATAAATCTTGTAATGAATAACCTAGAACAGGGGTAGGCAACCTTGGCTCTTTTATGACTCGTGGACTTCAACTCCCAGAATTCCTGAGCCAGCCGTGCTGGCTCAGGAATTCTGGGAGTTGAAGTCCACGAGTCATAAAAGAGCCAAGGTTGCCTACCCCTGACCTAGAACTAGGAAAGTGGTAACAATTATTAGGAACGCAGAAAACTTTCTTACACAAACCACTTGCTCATGCGTTTAGTTTTGGATGCAGGAACTAACATCTCTATTCCTAAAGGTTTCTTTCCTAATTCTATCTGAAAAAGCCAGAGACTTCACATGGGTCCCCAATGCAAAATATACGATCAATTCTAGCTTCTCCCTTCATTAACAGCGGTATGCCTCTCTCTCATTATAAAACAGAAATAATGGAAGGAATGAAGGCGAATATATGTGTCCCAGGATAATGTTGCAGGATCCAACATACTCTGCTTGAGAGAAGTTCCCTGAGGATGGGAGCTCCAGCACAAGTCCAAAAGCTTGGAAGACAAAACCTCTGGTCCTGGTGACCGTTCCAGATTGGATCCTGCATAATTGAAGTGATTTATTTTCATTTCTCCTTTTATCCTCTCCTCTCCACCTCAATCAGACCACCTTTTGTGGACTGCTAGAAGACCCAGCATGAGCCCGTTGCTAGATACTGTGGCTTAAAGCATTTTCCCTCAAAAGCTAGAAGCTTACATCACTCATCTGCAACTTCATATCCAAAACACCATCTGTCTAAAGAAAGAGTATAGATTTTTTTACCCTCAGCTGTGGCACAGCTCAATACAGCATCCCGTACGGTGACTAGCTCCTGCATATCCTGGCTGTAGAAATCCAAGATTTTGAGGGCCCTGGGCCAATCCCTTGCTGTGAGAGCTTGTTCAAAGGTCTCCATTAACACTTCAACAGCTAGGGAGGAGTGCAATCCCAGGAAAAGCAATGAGATGTAAGACTTGCCACAAAGCTCACTAGCCAATCCGATTCCTTCATCCTGAGGCTCCTGTAGAGGCTCGAACATAGCAAGAAGAAAACTTTCTAGAAAGGGGAACTCCTTTAACAATATTTCACATTCTTTGGAAATCTGGTCCATAGACAAGGGTGCTTCCCTTTTTCCTCGGAACTCAATCCACGATAAGCTCTGTTTGGGTGGCTTTTGCACTTTTAAGGCAGTAAGACAAGCCATGGTAGCTAAGAGTTTTGACTGAGATTTTAGAAAATTGAGGGTGGACGCAGTGAGTGAATGCTGATTAAGATCAGACAGTGAAGAGATGGGATTATTGGAAGTGTTCTCAGACTCCATGGCTGGATTATGCACTGGAACCTCAATATCTGGCAGACAATGATATGCGTACAAATGCGCTAGGCTACTGATGTTTGTCAAAAGGGATCTAGTCTGGTTGCTTTGCATGTTGGTGTAGAGAGGCAATGCCTTACAGCAACACTTGATGATCACTTGCTGCACATTTAAGTTCAGTTCTTCTTTAGCTAGCAGCGAAGACAACCTGCAGGTTTGAGAACACATAAAAATAAATTTGGCCTTATATTATGCATTATCTCCCACATCACACAAAAGGAAAAATTGTTATGGATGAGTATACGTCACCAAATGCACACCAAACATCCTCAAATAAATGTACCCATTAAGCATCTAAACACATAATGATTGAATAAACATGGGGGATGGTGGTTGAGCTGTCTGTGATTAATCATAATTTAACTGGAACATCAGGATCTCTCTGAATTTTGCCATACATTTCTTTATTTTACTTCAAACATATTTTTTTCGATTTTTAAAAAACAGGATTTCTTAAAAAAACACACACACATTAAACTTCAAAGAGATAATCCACAACTAAATAGGTTTTAAGAAACAAAAAGGACATATTTATCATCTTGTTTTAGGTGGAGAAAAAATTATATATTGAAAAATTTCACATACAATTAATTAATTGCCATACATCTAAGAGCCTAGAACAGATTCAGTGCTGATTTATATAGAAATTATAGAACATAATATGTGTGCGGAATAACCCGAGTTTAACATTGCCCATGTTAATAATAAGTATTTCTATATGGAAGACTGACAGATCAGAGAGTGGATCATGCAAAAATGCATCTCTTTATAACGGTTGTTTTCACCATGTCAGAAAGATTGTTTCAGAAGATTTTGTGCTGTAAATAACATATGTTAATTATGAAGCTCATTTGACATTCTCTGCTATAATCCCTAATTTTCCTAGTATACAAAAATAGACTTTGAAAAATATTTTATCTTTTATCATAGCATCTAACATTACCTCCAAATAACATACAGTACTGACTTCAGTCTCAGTTCTACATTTGAGGATTATATACTAGGGCATGTATAAATTACTTGTTCAGATCCCATACAGGAAAACCACATTAATATTTAGAACAGTTGAAACAAAATTACAGGTAGTCCTCGACTTATGACCACAAATTGGGATCGGAACGTCAGTCATTAACTGAATTGCACCCAATTCTACAACTCTTTTGCCACTTTAACAGTTGTTAAGTGAATCATGTGGCTATTATGTGAATCCAGCTTTTCCGTTCCTTTTGCTTGTCAGAGGCCCCCTGGGAAGATCATAAATGGAGATCATGTGACCACGGGATGCTGCAACTGTTATAAAGACAAGTCAGTTGCCAGGCACTTGAATTTTGATCATGTGGCAGCAGGAATGCTGCAATGGTTGTAAGTGCAAGGCCCAATCATAAATCACTTTTTGGGGGCACTGTCATAACTTCAAACGGTCATTAAATCAATGATCGTAAGTCAAGGACTACTTGTGCTTTACGTCAGTGGAAAACAATGTATATAAACTACTCTACTGAGATACCTGACACTGCTATTACTACAACAAAAACATGCCAAATCATTTAACAGCAATTGTATTTAGGTGATTGTGGAGTCTTTTGTAACAAAAGCTTAGTGATCTAAAGTCAACACAACACAGTACTTGTTTAACAATTGCAATTGATTCTGGTAACACGATCACTAAGTAACACGTGATTGAAAGAGAAAAAAAGAGAAAGACAAAGAAAGAGAAAGAGAGATGCTGCAAAGATTGCTGGTTGCTGCTGCCTCATTCAGATAAAGTTCTCTCATACTATGCCAGAATTAATTCCACTCCAGCGTGCAGTGTAGTCAGGTGCACAAATCTGAACATAATTGTGCATGTTGGTTGGGGAAATGATTTTTTTTACCACCATTGACTATGGTTTTATTATTGCTGCCATTTGCAAATGGCCACTTTCCAAAGCAGTTGCTAAACAAAAACTATCTGTAATATTTCCAAAGAAGCATGTTCAGCCACTGAGCACTCTCACTGCTTCAGACAGGAAGGCGGTGCAGAGAGTGGTGAGAATGGCCAAAAAGATCATTGGCAGTTCCCTCCCTCCCACCAGGACATAGCACAGAAGGGCTGCTTGAGCAGGGTCCGTAAGATTATCTGGGACACTACACATCCTCTTCACGACCTGTTTTCCTTGTTACCTTCTGGGAGGAGGCTTCGTGGTATCCGAAGCAGAACATCCAGATTCAGCCAGAGTTTCATTCCATACAGCATTAACCTTGCGAACTCTCAAGCTTCCTTCTTCCGTTATATATAGTTCTACCTGTTATAAATTATAAATAACGATGCATATACATCCCTACACCCAGATATGTATACAACAAGTATCATACAAATCCACACACAGTACATACACAAAGTGAAACTCTCGCCCGTTGATTTAAAGTAAAAACTACACACGGTAACACGGGTGTCATATTTTTACTGTTATTTCCAATAGTTATCTTATCTTATATGAAAGACCCTTACCTGTCAGGGACAATCTGTTTCCCAAATAGAAGCTGGGATAGCAAGTGAGATGGACTTTGTTGGAGCAAAATAAATGGATTTCCAACTTGAATATCTGCAGATTGATCTAGAAGCAAATAAAGTTATTAAAAAATAATGTATTGGTCGGACTTCATTTCATTGTATGCCCCCAAACCCAACTTCCACATCTTTTGACAAGCAGTAATGTTGACAGCTTGTTATGATGTTTTTAGAGTATTCCAATTTCTGTTACGAATCTGCAAATTAGTTTATAGATTTTACCTATTGTCTTAATAAAATAAAACAGCTGAATAGTTCAGTGTGAACTGAAATATAGACAAAGGTGAATGCAATCATTTAAAGTTCCTATGAATCTGTTATTTTTCTGCTCTTTATTGTTCTGCTTTCTTTCAATATTAAAAGTGGATCCTCTTGAACTAAACCTACATACCTTGCTTCAATAGGGTGCAATCTCTCACCTATTTCTGGCGTGAGGCTTCGAAAGATAATGGCAGCCAGCTTGTTAATATAATCAAAAAATGTTTGTACATAGGCCGTCTGCCTATAGCCCTCCTGCATGGTCACAGCGTATTGGTCCAAGATTTTTAGGAGATGTTTGATCTGACCGCAAACTGGATGTGCCTCTAATTCTGCTGGTTTCAGAAAAGCTTGTTCTACCAAAGAAGCAAGCACGCTTCCTTTGGAGTCTATAAAAACAAAAAGGATTAGATGTTACAGATCTAAGAAATCCAACTCTTTCCATCAATAAGAGAAATCTCCCACATTTACAGTAATATTAAACTGAAAGAATTTTTAAAAAATGGCTATTATATCTATATTGTTATATTTCAAGGGTTTAAAAGTTCTTTTATTGTTTGAAATGTTAAATCCTATTTTAACTGCAATCCTATTTTTGAAAGCTGCCCTGAGCTTTATGCAGGTGAGGCATAAATCTGAACACATTTCGAACCAGATTAATAGAGTTAAAAATTCATGAGCAGACTTCTGCTTCCGGATCGCAGCACGTTCAGCTGTACAAAGAGATCTCTCTCTTGGTTGGCTGTTTTCCCTCCGCCGGTAGACCCTTATGCGGGTCTTAAATCGCCCTGGAGGGGCGACTACCGTCGAAGAGGCTCTTGCTCGGCTGCGGCTCCCCCTACAGTCCGAGCTAACTCCGTAGGGCCAACGGAGAAGATCGGCCAATAAAATGGCCGATCACTTTGCTGCGCCAGCTGAAGTCAGAAAATCATCTAAGCATAAAGAACCACCATGGTGAATCCGGGTGAGACCTTTCCTCCCTCTCTCTGTCCTGACTATTTGTCTGTAAAAAGTTTTTGATCACTTCCCTGTCTACTTGGGAAAGAAAGTTTTAAAAGAACTAAAATAGTTAAAGTTTTATTGACTACTTGATTTTTTTTGGGGGGGGAATACCTAAGGGCCCTGAAAAAAATAAAAAAGAAACGCTATATTTTTTACTTTATCTATTATACTGAAGATACCTGCTTTTGCTTTTTATGTTTCCCGGAAGAGATAAACTTTTACCTACTTGGAAGAAAGAGTTTACAGTCCACTGAGGACATCTTGTGGCGAAAAGTGCCATTACAACTGTATAGGTGGATATTTGTTGACCTTTTTGAAATATAGCCTCCACTAAAAGATCAAAGACTGTTCTTGATCAAAGTCTATTTCACCATTGAAATGGAAGAAGCTTATCCACAGCTCGACTGTGAACTTATATTGGAAAAGATTTTGGAAACTACAAACTATATGAAAGCTTATATCAAATCTTGGAGAAAAATCAGAGATGATACTAGAGAACCACAAATTGACTTTCAACCATCGGTTCAAACTACAGACCAAAGAATAACGGAGGAAGAACAGAGCAACCCTAGAGAGGTTCCCATTCAGCGAGTTATACAACTGAATGAGACAGAGGAACTGCACTTACAATTCCATTATGAACTTACAGTAGAAACTACTGAGCAAATTAATTCTACACAACCCTACTTACGACCTATGGAGAACATTGACGATCAAAGAATAACATTAACTGAACTATTTGATCTCCCAAAAATAACAGAGCTTGACATTCAGGTACAAGTTATTGAAAATTGTGACAATATGGACAATCAACTAGCAACTTTAATAAGGAATAAAATTGACTATACTATTCAAACGATATTGGAAGAAAGAGAAGAGAACTTTGACTATTTTGATGTATTGAGAAATAGCTTTACTCAAATGTTGAGGTTTGATGATGCTGAGGCTTTATCTTGGAAACCGGTTTGGCATAGAAAGAAAGCTAGAGTTAAGTTTAAAAATGTGGTTTAAAATTCCACTGAATGGGTTAAAAAGGTTGTTGACACTTGGACTGTTTTAACAACAAATGAAATAGATGATTCTGTAAAATGATATTTTTGTAATAATATTTGGTATTAGAGATGATAAATAGTTGGAGGGGTAAATTTTACTTAATTGATTGATAGAATATATATTTAAAATAGACAGAAATGTAGTTCTTTGGACTGATATCTTTATTTTAACCAAGATAACTATTTTGTAATAGAGGGAGAAGAGGAGGTATTTGTGATAAGAGAAATAATAATATTAATAAATGATGTATTAGTTTAAGCAATAGGCTATATTTAAAAAAATGTAAGGATGTTGCTTTTTGGGATAGTATATTTATGTTAGATAGAATCATCATGATAGGGAAAAGAGAAAAGAGGGATGCCCGAAGTGTTAATATGTCTACATAAGCTTAATTGGAATATGGTAATTTCTAAAATACTAAAGCTTAAAAACAGGACTTGGATTCTTATAATTGAAATGTGATTGATGACCAATTGGATTGATTGAGCTTTTTTTTTTTTATAAATGTAATAATTTTAATTGGTAAAATAATATATGGGAAATAGAGAGGGAACTTTTAAGGAATTAATCTGTGTGATATATGTATGATTTTGTTCTTGGATAATTGATAGCCCAATTACCACGTTGTTTCTCAAGCCCTTTTATGTAAAAATGAAAAAACCAATAAAATTTCTTCATAAAAAAAAAATTCATGAGCAGAAAAAATAGTTCACCCACATATGTTACCTGGGAAATCTTCTACATGTGCCAGATTTTGCAGGATTTCATCCAAATGCTGTGACAAAACAAGCTGATTAGTAATACAGTCTGCAGTGAGATCTGGGTAACAGGTCTGCAGCAAATCCACAATGCTGCAGTGGAAATGACAACTTATTTTCTCATCAGAAATTTCTGTTAGAAAACAGTGGGAAAATTCATTAAGATAAAACATTTCAGTCTCACCTGTGACACACAACACATATGCAAAAACACATGAAAGAAATTAAATGGGGTGAAATAATGAATTCTTTCAAACCGTCCTACTATCAGCTCTTTGTGTGGTTCATACACCAGAGTTTATAGTTCAGCACTGACTTAAGGGGGAGGAGGAGGGGGAAGGGGGGAAGAAGAGGAAGGAAGAGGAAGAGGAAGGAGGAGGAGGAAGTGGAGGAGGAGGAGGAGGAGGAGGGGAAGAAGAAGGGGAAGGAGGGAAGAAGAGGAAGGAAGAAGAGGGAGGAGGGGCGGGCAGAAGCAGCATATGCAAGGAGACACAGAAAATGGGCAATGCTTTAAACCAATTTGTTCCATACTTGGCAATGTTAAGATGTATGGCTGAGGAATTTGGGAAGCAGAATCCACATATCTTACAGTTGCCAAGTTTGAAAACAAGCTTTCCAAAATGGACTGCCAAAAATTATCTTCCACAAGTACCCTTCTGGCAACTCTCAGTTGGCAACCAGGGAACCAACAGATAATCAAGGAAACCAATCTTGGTGCCGAGTCTTTTTAATTGCTGAGCTTATATTTTTGTATATGCAAGCAAGGAATGGCTTTGTTGATACCAAAGACATCTATGTTTATAATACAGTTTGTAAACCAGTCACTGTTGAGGGATTCTTAATAGTGATCTAGAAGTGAGGACACAAGATAAGACTTAATGTAACTGATTTAAAAAAATGGGAGACCTGCAACATAGTGTATATATAATAGGGATATTTTAATATACATGCACTCTAAAAACCAGTTTGACTGAAAACATTTAATAACAATAACAACAACAACAACAACAATAATAATAATAATAATAAAGTTGGAAGGGACCTTGGAGGTCATCAAGTCCAACCCCCTGCTCAGGCAGATAACCCTATACCATTTTGGACAAATGGCTGTCCAGTTTCTTCTTAAAAACTTCCAGTGTTGGAGCATTCACCGCTTCTGGAGGCAGGTTGTTCCACTGGTTAATTGTTCTAACTGTCAGGAAGTTTCTCCTTAGTTCTAGGTTGCTTCTCTCTTTGGTTAGTTTCCATCCATTACTTCTTGTCCTGCCTTCAGGTGCTTTGGAAAATAGCTTGACTCCCTCTTCTTTGTGGCAGCCCCTGAGATATTGGAACACTGCTATCATGTCCCCCCTCGTCCTTCTCTTCATTAAACTAGACATACTTAATTCCAGCAGCCTTTCCTTATATGCTTTAGCCTCCAGTCCCCTAATCATCTTTGTTGCTCTTCTCTGTACTCTATCTAGAGTCTCGACATCTTTTTTACATCGTGGTGACCAAAACTGGATGCAGTATTCCAAGTGTGGCCTTACCAAGGCATTGTAAAGTGGTATTAATACTTCACGTGATCTTGATTCTATCCCTCTGTTAATACAGCCTAGCACTGTGTTGGCTTTTTTTGGCAGCTTTTTGCCTTTTATTTGGTGGCGGACAGAATTTTACAGGAGCTTGGGGTAGCAGGGAAAACAATACAACACAATCTCCACAACCTAAGTGCTTGTATGTGGCACCAGAACACAAGAGCGGAAGGGCAGGGGTTGTGTTGTGACAACACAGAACACATCATTTTTCCATTGCTATGGCTAGCTATGGATACCTGTGTTTACATCTCACTTTTCCTAGCATTTCAAAATATCTAGCAATAATGACAATACAAATCTTACACACTGTAAGAGCAATAAAAAAGGAAAACACCTTAAAAAGTAAAAATGTTAAAAATTAGAAGAGATTAAATGACATGAAACTAAATTCAAAATAATTACTCAATGATACAATAAAAACAGATCCTCAGGAAGAGCAATGAAAACAGGAAGCAAAAGAAAAAAAAATCTTCATTCATGAAAAGATGGTTATTTAAAGAGGCCCCAATGAGCTCCTTAGGAAGCGGTACCAGAACACAACTATAAGAATGGAGAATAGTGTACGTGTGAATGAAGTAATGACCCAAAGCAAAAAAATTACCTGATTTGGGCTGTCCTTGTGGTATGTTGATAATTTTACTTATTTGTTGGAGAACTGCTGGGAAACCTTTCAAGTCAACAGGATTCTGGTGATCGGAATCAAGTCTTCTGCCTATTATTAGATATAAGATGACAATCCAGGAAGAAGATATATTAGTGGAATTATATACATACTTTACCACTATTTTCCTTACTTAACTTCTTTGAATTTTTAAAATACCCCAGCACTAAACAGAATAGAGAAATTTACCTTTGATTTCAAGGCTATTCTGCAATTTTCTCTCGGCTGTTTCTAAGAGCTGCTTGCAGGTTTTCCATAAATTGCACTGGGTAGTTGCCAAATCGAATATGGCCATAGCAGAAGGACAAAGGTCTTCCAGAATATTATTCAAAGGGTCAGTACATTCCAGTTGGACGCTGCTAGTCCAGAAGTTCTCTTGGAGCACAGGTGCAAGGCTTTCTGAAGGGGCAAGCAGCTTATCCGTAACATCCGAAATGGAGTAAAACACCATCCCTTGGGAAACCAAAAATGAAAATTGTATTAAAGGATCTGGGACTTATTACAGGTTTTTCAGTCCTCAAGCCTTCTTTAGGTTTTTCTTCCACTTTGCCTAATTTCAGAAGTGCGCAACTTTTTAATGTTTATTGTGGTTTTACTTGAAACTGAGGAGAGCACAACCATTGCTTTTCATTTTTCTGTTTCTGTTAGCAAAATGGAAATATGTCTTACAGTTATAAAGACTTGGACCTAAAAAGATCTTATCAGCGTAGAAATACATGACTGCATACATAAGACAGTCCCACCGAATTTCTTCAGTTTCCAAGTCCTTACTGTACTTCTCCTATTTCAAACTGATTCAGGCACTCCTTTGATCTTATAGCAGGTGAGAATGGGGGATGAAAACCAGGAAATTCCAATAGTAACACTCTACAGCAGGCCTGTCAAACTGCCGGCCCACGGGCCGGATGCGTCACACCAAAACCACGTTCACCCCATTGCCGGCAATGGGGAAAAAGTTGCGATATGTCACGCGACGTCATGTGATGTCGCGAATTTGACATGCCTGCTCTACAGTGTGTTGTCTGAATTTGGATGAGAGCTTTGATTTGCTTTGGTTTGTCTATTACTAGTAGTATTCTTTGCGTGCACATATACAATATGTACACAGTAGGCGAGTGGGGGAAAAAATGAGGAACAGAAGCCAGTGATAGAGAAAACATGCTTGAACTAATAACTTCTAACATATTAGTACTCAACTGCTTTGAAATTCATTGAATTTGGTACTCAATGCATTTTGATGTGAAAATTTTATTCTGGTTCTAATCGTTTGTTTGGTACTCAGTGCCAAGCTAGAACTTGTTGATGTCGGCTGCCATGTGACTCACTACATTATTTCTTATGGGAAAAAATTTGTTTGATACTCATATCATTTTTGGTACTCATTGCACCTCCTGGAATCAATTAATGAAGAGTACCGAAGTACCACTGTAGAGGGAAGTGAAACCCTTTTTTGCTGTAATACAATATCCCAAATCTGTCCTCCATAATCAATTGCAGGGAGAGAAAGAGATTCAACAATTTATCTGCGCAACTTCTACGTCATTAAGCAACATACAGCTCACTAGCTATCTATACTCACTTTATTCTTCCATCTCATTCACATAAAATATATAGCAGATAGAAATATATTTCTGTTGAAGTTACATATGTACCATACATATGTATGTGAAGTCTCATTTCCCAGGGCCTCATTTGTTAAAATGAGTAATCAAATTTTACCAGCAGCTGCTGCATTTCCAATAGCCTGCAGAGTTGAACGGCCACTGCCGGTCTGTTTTAGGTTTCCAGATCCCTCCGATGATTGATGTTCAATCTTGTGTTCCACTTTTGCTAGCTCCCCAATCACTTCTTGGTAACGCTCCAGGAAAATTAGCTCACCGTAGGAAGCAGAAGTTTCCAAATCAAACATAACAGCAACCTGATATTACAGAGTTAAGAGGCAACGCATGCTTGTTAAGTAAGATTTTAAAATATATTTAATTGTTGGCACAAAAAAAATAATACGCTCAGCTTTATTCCAATAAACCTTTCTAATTTCTCTGGAAGGATACAAAGAAGTTTTATAAGGCAGTCTGATAAGCCAAATAAAGAAATTTCAGCTGGGTAATTCAATCTTTCCCAATTGCCTTTAATTTTACGTATTATAATGTTTTTTAAAACAAACAAACAAACAAACATATTATTGCCTATCTGAATGGACAGATCTCTACTATTTTCTCTGAAGAAACAATGCTAATCCGGGGGTAACTAAAATGTTAATCCAGATTAATTTTGGATTAGGTTTTAAAATGTTCCATATAATGAAAACCTTAGGTCATTCTTCTGCCCTTCTGCCATCAAATACACACTCTGACAAAAATATAGCTCACTTTTCTCAATTAGCAGTACATCCTCCAGAGACTCCTTGGAGTACATAATGCACAAGGAGTAGATCAGAATAATGGGGTATGAATTTCTAAAGGCTCTGTGGAGAGAGTAGAAATTTATAGTACTATTCAGGAATCCAACTAGAAACCAGCCATTACCTGATGAGCTTCGACGTAATTTCCTCTCAAGATGCATGCAACAAGAAGAGATTCTGGTGGGGAAAGCATGGCTGGGATGAGGGAATTCTCTGAAGGCTTTATCCAATATTCTGCATCGCTACAGTCAGAAGAGGCACCGGCACTGCCTTCTAAAAACAAATAAACAAAAAATGCCCTACACATTTTCCTTTCCCCAAGAAAAATACCAATACAAGGAGGAATAGTTTTAGAACAACCCCTGTCACCATCAGATGGTTGCAAAATATAATAGGAAAAAGTAATTTTGTTTGTTTTGATTAGTTCTAAAGTATAATTGTCACTCTTTACAATGGCTGTTTCCGTAGTACAGTATGAATGAATGAATGAATGAATGAATGAATCTATCTATCTATCTATCTATCTGTCTGTCTGTCTGTCTGTCTGTCTGTCTGTCTGTCTGTCTGTCTGTCTGTCTGTCTGTCTGTCTGTCTGTCTGTCTGTCTATCTATCTATCTATCTATCTATCTATCTATCTATCTATCTATCTATCTAACAATCTGTTAATTGTATCTTTGAAAGCCACAATATCAAAACAGATTGCATGTTCACAAGCATTTACAGAAGAAAAAAAACTCAGCCATAATTTAGAAACCAAAGCTGCCTTTGGAAATACAGGTAACTCCTCAACTTAGTTTGTTTAGTGATCGTTCGAAGTTACAATGGCACTGAAAAAAGTGACTTATGACCATTTTTCACACTTACAATCGTTGCGGCATCCCCATGGTCGCTTGATCAAAATTCAGATGCTTTGGCGCAACTGACTCATATTTATGACGGTTGCGGGGTCCTGGGGGGTCATGTGATCCCCTTTTGCAACCTTCCGACAAGCAAAGTCAACGGGGAAGTCAGATTCACTTAGCAACCACGCTACTAACTGAACTGCAGTGACTCACTTAACAACTGTGGCAAGAAAGTCGTAAGATGGGGCAAAACTCAATTAAACAAAGGTCCCGCTTTGCAACAGAAGTTGTGGTCGTAAGTCGAGGACTAGCTTTATGCAAGAGAAAAGGCAAAGCCTCTGAAAGGAAGGACTGTGTGTAAAGCATCTCTTCGAACTGTCAATGCCAGCTTGTTTGCAGGGCTTGTACACCTGCACTGCAAGCCACCCTTGGCTATTTCCACGTGGATCAGCACACACAATCCGCTCGGTTTTGCTTTCTTCCCAGCAACTGCACCTTTCAAAGCAACTGTACGAATTTTGCAAATGGATAGGTTGCTTTACTGAGTAAACATGAAGCATTTTGTAAAACACACTTAAAGGTTTTACAAGCTCTCTCAGGTAATAAGCATTCCACATGGGGTTCCGTGACCAAGAAAGCTCTTCCATACCTGATGTGCTGGTGCTACTTAATTCACTGCTGGAGCTCTCCAGGGAGGTTCTTTTGTGTTCTGAAGCAGGAAAAAGAAAAGAAAAAGTTGAGTGAAGCATATCACTTTACTTTCATTACAGCGTCTACAGACTAACTGAGAGATCCATGCTAAAACTAAAGGTTATCCAGTCTAGAGCAAGTCTTACATTATTACCTTGGGCTGGCTTAGCGAATTCATACGCAGAGTACTGTAAGTTGCTCTGTGTTAGGATATTCTGTACAATTTATCTAATTTGTACAAACTTTTATTTTACACACTGGCCTCATATATTAACTTCAAGACAGCACAGCCACTGCCCAAAATATCCAGTATTGGTCTCCAGATTATGCAAATACAGGATATAACACAGGAGAAAGAACATTTAAAATAGTCTGCCCTGAAACAAAATGTTTTACAGCAACAGCTATTTGGAGGACTCTGTTCTCCCCGATACTCTGTATAAGAGGTAATTTCTTATTATGATCACGTCTAATATAATTATACGCATAGAATCGTGACTAGTTCCCACCCTGTTCTTTAACCACTGCAGAATTAAGTGGCAATTTTCTTATTTCTAAGAAGCAAATTCACTTTAAAATTCAGCTGCAGTAAACTCAACTAGGTTGTCCTGGACAAAGCAAGCTCCTTCTTAAGCACTGCTGAACAGTGTTTCCAACACAGTTATTCTGGATGTTTGGATTAATCAGAATCTTTTGTTGAGCTAGAGAGATAGGAGATCCCAAGATTTTAGATCCATGGAGTCTATTCGGAAGCATCCGCTTCTTTTTTTAATTTTGTCTTTGCACCTAAATCTATAGTTAATACTGAATATAGTATAATTTTTCTTAGATACCCCCAATTTAAGATTGCAATTATGAACCAGCACGGGCCATATGATATTGTAGTGAATAAAGAACATGCTCTTGAAAGATGGAAGGACAGGGCCCCTCCCCCAATTCCTATGAAGTTAAAAAGGGGAGGAAAAGTAGCACATTGAGGCTTGCAACATCCTTTTATTATGATTGTTCTAATAAAAGTAGCTCTAACAAAAGCTTTAGGTCTGCAGGGTGTGTCTAGTTGGCTCCCTCTTTTATCTTCATGAGAATTGGAGAGGAGGACTATCTGAGGTGTTTTCAGAAACCATTTTCTTGGCCTGGGCACAAGTGTCATTTATCTGATCATGGCATTGGTAGCGGGTCTTCCCTGTCCTCCAAGGCCATCTTCATTCACTACAGAGATATAGAATAGATAAATGATCAGAATCTCATAGAGCCATGAGGTTCTGACTAGCAGAAGCAGCAATACATCTGTGACAAGTAATATAAGACTCTTAGCTATTTCTACCACTTTACCTGGCTTTTGTCTTTGAGACTGAGTATGCTTTTTCAAGAAGGATGCTTTGGTTAAATTATAGTTTATTCTAGTTGGACCACGATGACTACCTGCAAAAACACCATTAAGTTGTTGTATAATTGTCACTTTATCACAAATACGTTAAGATGAAAGCAAAAAAAAAAAAGGTATAAACATGCTATCTTAGTTTAATGTATATAATATCATTTTACACCAAGGTTAAGGTTAGGGAATTAAGTTATTAAAAGTTAAAATACACTATGCAAACTCCCCATTTCATTTTGAGGGCAAATTAGATTTGTTTTTCAGAATTCCATTATGTTTCTGGGGACTTTCAGGGAAGAAATAGCAAATTTAAGATGGCTCCATGAAAAGCAGAGCCAAAGACAGCTGGTAAGTAAACTGGTTCTTCAATAAATTCTTTCTGGACAAAGAAAGGACTTGGGTTTGCACACAAGTGCTCCTGGCAGTTGCTTTTTAAGAGGACACCACAAGATAGGGGTGTCCGACAGGTTTAGAGCCATCTGTTTCTGTAGATAGATTCTATCTAAAAAATGCTATGGAAGAGGAACAAGTTGTATCTGACAAGATTGAGACTAAATTGAAAATAGATTTTAAAAATGTTGGGCTATAAGAATGGCCCAGAAAAATATGTTACACTGGTCATAATAAAAGCAGGCTAATATCTTAATAATTAAAAGGAATCTACATAGAACAAAGAGAGTGACCTGGATAATTTTCCTATGCTGGGATTACAAGAGGCTTGTTTTAAAGAATTTTCTGAGAAGGAACAAAGAAAAAATGAAAAGAAACCATGTTTTATGACATTATTTGAGGTGACTAAAGATCTAGTTTTCTAGAAACAGAAGAAAGGAATATAAAATTGATTTATTTGATCAAGGCTAAAATAGATATGCTGTTACCTCTGGTAACTCTTAATGGACTTTTGTTGACATGAAGGGCGAAATGATTACGTTTTATGGATTTGTTTATAGATAAGAGATGGAATGTGAGAAAAAGAAATGATTTCTTCTATTTTAGGAACATGTGATAAGTTACTAAAATTGTTCATACTTGGGATGAACGTGGAAAATGATGTTATACAGTTTTCTTTTTCTTTACTATATTCTTATTTTTTCTTGTTCTTCAATTTCTCTTCATTTTTTTCCTTTTTTTGTTTTCTGTACCTTCTACTTTTTTCTTTCTGTTCTTTTCTCTTTTTTTGCTTGTATTAGTTTTTATTGATGCAATTAGAATTCTTAATAAAATTACTTTAAAAAGTGCCATATATTTTTGAAAGGATATTGTGAAAGAAACCAGTGGGAATGCATGGCAAATAAGCTAAGAAAAGGAAAAGGAAGGATTCTTGAAATTGCGAAATGATTATTAAAACGGAGGAATATAAAAGAATACCTTCAGTCACAAGCCTCCAGAATAGGTCCTTTAGATCAAAAGAGTTGCAAATACTGAGACTTCTGCTCTATCTCTATTTGGGTAACTTTCCTTACAGCTTCTTTGTTTAAGGCAGAAATATGGCTGCATCGTGTGATGCATCTTAGCCGGAAGAAGCTCATCATAATCAAGCTTTCACCAAGGAATAATACATCCTGATCCACTGATGTCTTCTTTTCAGAGACTTCTAAAACTTTGCTACATTCAAATATATTTCTCTCAGGTGTGGTTGGGGAAGACAAAATGAACTATCGTTAACACATCAGCCCCAATACTTGGGGTACATCATACAATATGTTTAGAGGCCCACATAGGAGAGATAACATTTTGTAATAAAATAGAAATACATCACACTGTTCTATCTTCTCCCTGTTCTTTTCCAAAGCAATTATATTTTGTAGGTTCATCTGTACATACATCTATTTCTTGACTTTCTCCACATTGGATATAAAACTACTTCTTTTTAAGCTGTCACCAATAGAAGCACCTGTCCTTTTTTGATAGTTTAAGGCAGTGGTTCTCAACCTTTTTAATGCCGCGACCCCCCAACCGGTTGTAAGTCGAGGACTAAACCGGTCGTAAGTCGAGGACTACCCAACTGGTCGTAAGTCGAGGACTTTCCCTACCCGGGAGCGCCGCACATGCGTGGTTCCGCCCCCTGCGCCGGCCGAGTCATAGCTGGCAAGCAGCAGAGACGGAGCAGGCTGACCACCAGCTGGCCCAGCTCAAGGGAGGTAAGGCACCCGCCGGAAAAGGAAAAAAAAAATGGCGGACAGCCTTGCTTGGCGACCCCCGTGAAATGGTCGAAGCTGGGGTTTACCCCAGCGCTGGGTATCCAACTCTTGGCGACCAAATTCCTCATTTTAGAGAATTATTAAGAATGGACACAAAAACAACGACTCGTGATAAGACACGGCGGTGACTCGAAGTCTTTCTATGAACCTCTTGACGACGTGTGCCTACAATTTCAAGAGGGATAAATGTCTATTTAAGTTCGATAGATCGTGAGCCAGTTCCAACGTAGGGATGCGTCTTGAATCCCACACAAAAGAATCTTCAATTTCTTTCAGATGCTCCATGAGCATTTTGAGAAATATTTCCAACGCTTCCTCATCTACCAGAAATCCAGAGATATTACTAGTGAAGTGTTTCAAATCCAAATAGCTCAGCCCAAAGGAATCACAATTTCTGCTTTTTGATTCCAAATTGAGCAACATTTGGCTTCCTTTGTACTCCTGGTGTGCAGAGCAAGAGGGCACGTGGGCTCTCCTTTCAGGACTGACAGTGTGCTGAGGACTTGGTGAGGTGGATGAATCTTGGCTAGTACAACGCTCTGCTCTCTTGCCCAAATGGCTTTTTTTCCTGAAGCCAGCATCTTCTGCATTATCTTCTTGTAGACTATCACCGTAGAGATCATGCGAAGAAACAAAGAGCAAAGAGAATATATTTTCCAGGAGTTCCAACCTTAGAGGAGCAGGTATGCTTCTTAAATAATTCTGACACTTGGAGAGATAGTGAGGAAAGAGACTTGCATAATCTGTTTCTGTGAAGACAAAACAATTAAGTGAACAGATTTAGAATTTTTCTCCAATCAACAACTCTGTTTGAGAATAGCTGAAATGTCGTTAAAAAAAATAAATTTGGCTGACTTTCCCATAATGTACTTCTCTGTGATTAACAAACATTATACCCATTTCCTCACTTCTATCTTGTATAAGAGAAATTCTACAGCCTGGGCATCCTGGAAGCAGATATATTCATCCCAAGGCTGAGAGCTGGGCCATAGCTGTAGAGGGAGAAGCTGAGCTCAATTTAATGGACAATATTCTAAAATTCAGGGGAATCTCAGCCCTAAGTGTCTGATTCTTCTACTGTACTTATAAACTTTATTTTCTGCAAAGCAGAGGTCTCTTCTAAACTTTAAATACTTAATGTTGGACTTTTTTATAGAAATGCCCATATTTTTTAAAATAGAGATTTATAATCGATTAAAGATTGGCAATCTACAAGTTGTCATTTTAACACACACAGTGTGCATCAGGTTGGGGAAAGTTGGGCTAAATAGTATCATCCAAATAGAGAATGCCACAAGTGAGGAGAGCCCATGATGCAGAATCTGGTTATCCTCTAATTCTATAAATTAGAGCCATTCCCTAAAACTTTGCACACCCCACAAATACGTTAAGTTGGATAAAAGAAAGGAAGTACAATATCCGTGTACAAGGGAGCTGTGGTGGTGGCACACTGGTTAGAATGCNTCCTCAGGGTGCCGTCAGCCAGACAGTGTCGGCTGGCGACCCCCAGGGGGAGAGCCTTCTCTGTCGGAGCACCCACCCTCTGGAACGAGCTGCCCCCAGAGATCCGGGTGATTCCGGATCTCCCCTCCTTCCGCCGCGCCCTCAAGACCTGGTTATTTCAGCAGGCAGGACTGGCCTAGGGGTATTTTAGAGGGGTTTTTAAATTAAATTTTTAGTAGAAGCGGCCAAATTTATATAATTATTTTTAATCTTTTTAAATTTTGTATATTGTATCTTTGTTTTAAACTGGCTGTAAGCCGCCCTGAGTCCTCCGGGAGAAGGGCGGGGTATAAATTTAATAAAATCTAAATCTAAATCTAAATATGCCAACACTGTAAACCGCTTAGAGAGGGCTGTAAAGCACTATGAAGTGGTATATAAGTCTATGTGCTATTGCTATCCAATATTATCATCAAAATGTGCTGCAATACTAGACTGTTAATGTTAATAGATAACATTTGCAATGACTACCCCTGAGTCCTCACTGAATAAAATTCTGAACAAAGCCATTCAAATCAAAAAGTTCACTTCAAAAAGAGCTAGCGGCAGAGTGAATAAAAAGCAACACAAAATTTAGTTACAGGTTCTACGAGACCTGGATAGAGAGGTTGACTGGGAAATTCATTCCGCTCCAGAGGTTCGTTAGGGAGCTCAGTGACAAAGTAGTTTGCACAGTGTCTGCAATTTGAGCCTCTATGCGCTTTGACACACAATGCATAGGTGGCATACTTCATGGCACAAGATGCCTGGTAAAGAGTAAGATTGTGCTGTTGACTCAAAAGGCGAACATCTGGCATCACTGCTGAATCTAAAATAAAAGAGAACACAGAAAAACTAGCCATTAGTTAACGTTGGCATGCATGATTTTTAAGAGTCAACAGCTGCTAACTAGTAAGTTAATAGTTGTAAGACAAAATCCTACAGCCACTGGTCCTTCCTTTCCAAGACCAGAGGTTCCTTTGGTTTTCTTCCATGAAACAGGAGAAATAGTTTTGATCTCAAAGTGGGAAAGTCCATGTTTCATCTTCCACCATCCCTCACCAGCCAAAGCTAGTATTTCCTGGCAGTTTCCAAATTCAAGAAGGTCTCAAAAAAGCTATAGCAAGGCCAAGATGAGCAATACAACATTAAAACAAGGGAAACAGGACTAAACATTTAAGCAATAAAGAAGAAATATTGGCCAACTGCATTACAATTTACAATTATATATATTTACCTTGAACTTCTCCGTACTTAGCTGGAGTTTTCTGGAAAAGCTCAATTACTGCTTCCTCATTCAAGGCCAAGAGGTCTGTAAGTTGGTACAGAAGGTAAAGGGAAGAATGGCACTCCAAACTGTGAAGGTGCTGCAGAAGAACCTTCTCCGGGATGCAGTTACTAAAAAGAAAGTAAGCATAATTTGAATATCAGCAAATGCTGGTTTCACCTCTGGATTTTTTTTCTAGATAAAGATACACAACATTCCCAGAGCTGATTTAAGTTAGACTGCACAGTGTCTTTTTTTTAGCCCTTAGTATCAAACAGCAATTTAAGCAACATGTAGAATGCAAATAAATTTAGTGACAAAGGCAGACCTATATATATATATACTAGAGTAGCCCCACGGCGAAACAGGCAGCAAACAGAATTAACAAATTGACAAATAAATTTAAAAAAAATACAAAATGGTTTGTTCACTAGCAGGAGCCTACGGAATACATATGATTCACCAAGAATTTAACTCTGCAGTAGAACTGCACCAAAGGTTGACCCCATCACATTACATATAGGATACAAATTTGCTTAAGTGGACAGTGATGAAGGAGATAAAGACCTCCATAGATAAATAGAACAATTAAAACAACATAGGTGAATGAAGGAATGGCTAGTAAAACATATAGGTGAGAATTGCAAAGGTTGCAACCATACCCAGAGACAGCTACCAACCCTTTCCATTCACAGCTACAGCCAGAGGCCAAGCACGCAAATGTTTATTGATAGTACTATCATTATATTTCAACACAAATAAGTACTATCATTATATTTCAACACAAATAAGTTTAACTGGGAGGGGGAGAGATCTTTCACCAAAAAATTAAGCCAAATATTCTCATGCTGTGTTACCTATTCTGCTGTATGCACCACTCAAGAACTTCCACCTGGGCACACAACCCATCACAGAAGTCTTTTAATACAGAGTCATTGTAGAAACCCTGTTAAAAACAAAAGGAGGGAGGGGGGGAAATAATCTTCTTTAGCCCTTGCTTCAAAAACAAGTGAATGAACCCGCTCTCTCGACTTCTCTTTTGAGAAACAAAATAGGGTCAAAAGAGCAAAGGGTGCTTTCCTCCCGTGGGCAGGAATTTCTGACTTGCCTGAGATTTGTGTAGGGTCTGCAGCAGCATCTTTGCCGATTCTAAGCTGCCACACTGAGTCCAACCAAGCAATATCAAGAGGCGACTGAGGTAGCTGAATTCCTGTCTCAGTAATCTGCTGAGGCTTGAGAAGTCTTCCCTTTTCAGTAAAGTTAATGCTGTAATCTATGGGGACAAAATGATTTCTTTATTCTAAGACTATGGAATGCTGGAAGTCTGGCTGTAAGGTGAAAGTATAGGTTTAATATGCCAGAAAATTCCTGTTGATAAAATTAAATTCATACATTCTGATATACATTTGAGCTCTTTTATTCATAAAGTATAAATTGGTATTATCTGCAAGCATGTGTATGAGAACATAAAAAATGGAGAGATTGGAGAGAACTGCATGTTATTTTTCCATCGATGGATAATAATGGAAGATCTAAAGACGAGTCTAGTGGAAAACACTGTAATATTCTGAATGAATATAATCCAGAGAAAGCATACTCTTGAGCAGTTTTGAAATTATTACAGGAGTACAGGAGATTATGGAAAAAACTCGTGTATCTACTTGTATGGAGCAGAGTCCATGAATATCCACCTTAGGGCTGTGCAAGATTGATCAATTCTGGAATAATTTATGCCAGAGAACTCCAGATGGTTCTTTTTCCAATCTGGACCATGCCAAACAGCCAACATGGGAGGGTGCTGACCCATTTCTAGTCTTAAAAAAGTATAAGTTCCACTGGTTCCTAAAAGTAGAATTAAGTGCACCATCTTGCTTTTTGTTTCTGGCAGCAAAATATCTTGAGCCAGGTTTAGTTCTGAAATAGTACTATTTACACAATTAACATATTCGACATTTCTTACATCTCATTATGAATTTACCAGAATTTGTTCCAAAAAGTGTTTGTGGCTGCTAAGATAGTAGAAATAAGCAGCTTTCCAAGAATAAGCCTGCTCATGATCCAAGAACAATGCCATCACTGCCCGTTCAGCATCCGGATGTTCAGGTATACCTGAAATATTCAGAAGTATAATAATTAGTTTCACATATAGCCAAGATACAGAGACTTATACTAGCAGTGAAAGCAATTCTTTTTTAAAGTCTTGGTGCTTGCAGTGGCATAAGAAACAACACAAGAGGCAGGCATAAGAAACAACACAAGAGCAGCTGTTCTTTTCATACTACGTTCAGTTCTGTATTGTTGATCAACTATGCTAGTGACAAAGATATTAAAGATCTGTGGCTTATTCCACACACAAGTTTTAACTATCAATAAATGGCTGAAACCATCCTTATGCACTATGCTTCATTAGATCAGCAACTAGATTAGATTCAGTTGATCTAAATGATATACCCTTCTTACTCAGCCTAAATGACCAGAGTTTAGTCCCCTTCAAATTATTATATCAGGTATAGACACCCATAGATTCCTCTCAGCATACCATGGTCATCCCCTTGAAATTCAGGAGCAAAATGGCCAATTTGTAGTATTGCAAGTTTTTTTTTGAAGGGGAGGGTTCTTGCTAAAATAAGAGTGGATGTGAATACATTCTGGGAGTAGATTGCATCAATTTCTAATCTAAAACAATCTCAAACCAGTTCAAAGTTGTGCTATAAAAATTCAGCTATTTTGCCCCCAAATTTAAGAGACATGATTTTGAGTGGGTTTTTTGGGGGGAGGGAATAGCATAGAAAATGAAACGACTTCCTGTCTATTCCATCCTTAATTCCACCCCTTCCCCCCCCAAAAAAAATAGGTGAAAAAAAATATGCTCCAGCTTTTCCTGTGACATCATTAAACCCTTCCTGTCATGCAGCCCTCCACCTGCTCAGTGAATGGTGGCCTCTAACGTTCCAATAATTGCTGCAGATTCTTCAGTCTTCCGGCATCACTTCAGATGATCTGGAGGAGTGGGGACCACACAGAATCCTGGCAAGGGCTGGATGATGCCCCTTGGCCACAATGTGCAGTTAGAACTCAGACCATACAACCAAACCAACCTTTGCCTGGTGACTTTTGACTCAACAGTTTCTCTTTCGTCTTCTCAATAAATACACTGCCAAAGAGACTAAGCAAGGCATGGCTGTCTTTTCGTAACATGCAGCTGAGTAGCCTCTCCTCTCTAAGAGGACTCTTCTCAACCCAACAGGCATCCAGAAGTTCTCTGCAGAGGAGCCTCAGCTCTCTCGTCTGATTGTCCCCCTTCAAATTCAACATACTCAGGGCGTTATAGATTTCATCTGCAATTTTATTCCCCTCTCTCTCCAGTAATTCTGGATTTAGCTGAAGACGCTTCAAACATCTGAGTGAATCCCAAAGAAAGCCAACAAAAACATTCTGTGGCAGGCCACTTTGTATTACTGAAGAACTACATTCCACAGGATCACGCTGAAGAAGTTCCAATATGGCTTGCAATTTCCGGGGAGCTTGCAAGAGCATTTTTTGAAGAGCAGACATCACCTCCACACCAAATTTCTGTACTGATCCATCTCTTTGTTTCCTATGCAACAAATGGTTGTCTTCAAATGCTTCATAAAGTTCCTAAAGGGGGGTAAAATAGCTAGCTAAGAACATTTTCTTCCATAAATATATTAGATATGAAAAAAATATATCAAATAAGCATTAATGGTCAAATGCATTTGCTCAGTAGAAATGAGAAAAAGCCCCTGTCATGTAACTATTACTTGTCTATAAGCACCATTTTTTTTAGCAGCTGATAATGTTGCAGTTAGCTGTATTCCCTGGTCCAGCCCTATGATTATGAGACAGCTGGCCCTGGTCTGCCTATTCCCAAAGGTACTAATACAACATCAAAGAGGAAAAAGAAAGATGAATTGAAAATGTCCTTGTTTCCCTCCAAGACTACAAGAAATCTTCATGGTACCAGACAGTATTACAAAGGAAACCACTTAGTTCTTCAACTAATCTTGCATTCGCGGTTGTTTAGCACGAATGATATTCATAGGACGGTATTTCTGAGTCTGGCACCATCCATATGTGTTGGACTATAATATTCAGATAGCGGCTTGGAATTAATAGGAAATCTAATTCAATCCTTCAGGATGTCACACTGCAGAAAACGGCACTGTGATTAGATGTAGGGATAAATAATCGGGTATCAAACAAGCACCCAGAAGGAAGTGGTATCACTGTCATCGCTGTGCCAGACTGAAGTATTGGTTCCCATTTTCTACAATCTTAATGGTTTTGCAGTATAAGAAGGATCGCAGTGGGGGAGGGATGATTAAGAAGATCCACATAATGAAGACTGCCTTATTCTTAAGAATTCCTAGTCTTCAACTTTCTGCAAGCTCAGCAGGTTCAGGTCCACCCTCATCCATGATCATGTTGATAATAATGTGCCTTCACGTCAGTGTTGATATATGGTGACTGCCTGGACAGGTTTTCTTAACAAGTGTTCTAGGGAGTGGCTTGCCATCGCCTTCTTCCTAGGGCTAAGAGAGAAAGTCTGGTCCAAGGTAAGCTAGCTGGCTTAGTGCCTAAAGTAGGACTAGAACTCAGTTTTCTGGTTTGTAGCCTGATGCCTTAACCACTACACAAAACTGGCTTTTTCTAGCTATATGACATCCCATCTTGGTAAAACCGGGTGCTGAACTGAAGCACGTAACTTGAAAGGGAGAACATACTTGCAATGAGGACATCTAGTGTTGTATTGAAAGAGAGCTATCATTTGTTTCTTGCATTATCTGCTATGAAAACTCAGTGAAACCAAAGGTGAAAGGAGCCAAATTCCACAGTTAGGGAATGTCAGTTCCTGATTCACACATTCTAGAAGCTGTCACCTCAGCACTTATTTATTCCTATTATTTATTAATTTTAATCTCATTTTTCCGTCTACACAAAGTTTAAGCTGACTTGCATTAATTAAAATACAAATGATTCATAAAAAAAATAAAACAAAACCATTACAATCAGAGGTAAAATTACAAATTAGTCATTCTAAAATAATTCAGTTAAATACTTAATAAAAGATGTAGGGTTTGCTATTTTCCTGAGTATAAGAATAGTGGTCGTCAAAACATTTCCCTGGAGAGAATATTCTATAACCTGGAAAGGACACAGAAAAAAATCCAAGGATGTAATCTTCTGACTGTGAGAGGCTATTCAAAAAGGCCTCTCTTGATGATCTAAGTAACCAGTCAATAATCCGGCCACTAAATCCTGATTTTAAAATCAGTTATTTCAGGGCCTATCTCATGTAGCCTTCATGCCCACAAGACTAATGTTATATTCAGCACTTGCTGAAACTGAACAAAACTTCTGATTTTGTGTATATAACAGTGGAGATGTGAGCTGGTGTTGGCTGTTCTTTCAAATTAAAATTTTGGCATAGAACTGCTGTTGAAAAAGACAAAAGTTATGTTGAGGATTATTAGAAAAGGAACAAAAAAATAGAACTGCCGATATAATGATGTCTTTATACAATTCCATTGTGCAGCAGCATTTGGAAATTGTAATCACTGCACTTTGAAAGAAAAACTACTAAAAGTAAATACATGGAAAAGGCAATCAAAGTGCTCAAAAGGCTAAAACAACTTCCCTATGAAAAAGTCTTATATTTGGAAGGCATATGGCATGTATAAAGATGTTTAATAGGTAACATTGGACATGTAATGTTACACACAATATAAAAAATGGAAAGAAAGACATTTCCTTTCCTCTCTCAAAATAGTAACTAGAACTGTGGTTGAACTGGAATGTGGTAGATTCATAACAGATCAAAGAAACTACTTATTGACATTGTGCAATCAAGGTCTAGGAGTCACTACCACATGATATAATGTTATCTAACAGTTCAAAACATTGAGATAAATCCAGGGAATTATCAGTTGCTGGTGATATGCATGGGGACCATAATTTCTTCCTGTATCAGAGGCACTGTGTTTCTCAACAATGGATCCTCAAAGAAATGTATGGGAAGATCCTGATGTCCTCACATTCTACAGTAGAAAGCTTCCTTGGTTGGTCATTTACAAGTATAACAATGAATAAATTAGCACTCTTGTCTATCCAGCAAAGTTCATTTTCTTATATTAGCATTCTGACTTCACATCCAACCTCTATGCAATCAATACTGTGTTCAGACATGTCTGCACTGGAAGCAACCTGTTATCCTTAAAAAGGAACCACACCTTTAGAACAACAAATGGGACATCCTTTTCCAGTTCTTCTAGGAGAAGCAAGAATTCAGTTTCTCTTTGGAGAGCTACTGGGACAGTTTTCTAGAATTATTAAAGAACAGATAAGAAAATGTAAGAAAAAAATAGCAAGTACAAATAAGAATTGCTACATACTTTGTGATATATAGTTTCAGATGCTTAACACCACCTATCAATATCCATTTACTGTGATATTTCCCGAAACAAATGGACTGCAATTTTATTTGCTATTGCTCCCTTGGCTATTTACTGGTATGTATGAACCCACGTTTGGCTCAGATTCAAGGATTCCACTTATTTTAGCTATGCATATACAGTTGTTTGGGGAAATTATTTTTGCTACTCCCAGATTATTTAATTAACTTACTACAACTGCTAAATTTCTCATTAAGCCAAGAAGTGAATCTGTAATGGCAACTTTACAGTCAGGAATTACATGTTAGATTGATTTTCAATGCACAGGAACAAGATAATTTAAAAATATGAGTACCTTAGCAAGAATTCAAGAGCATATCCTCTTATGAAAATTACATTACAGGAGTATAGTGAAATATAATAATTGCATTATTAGAGGGCTCATGGTTTCCCAGTTACTAACCTGATGCCTTAACCACAACACTAAACTGCAGCTGAATTTTTTTCAACCCATTTTTTTTAGTTTTCTGGGTTTAATACCTGAACTATTTTGACCTTTTTTTAAAAAAAGAAAAGCATTTTTTCTACTGAAGCAATTTAAGTAAGAATGCAATATGCCTATTTAATCACAATCCATTTTCCTTTGCATTGTTCAGAATTATTTGCCAAACTTCTTCCTAACCAGTACTATTATTTTGCTTAGAATAACTGAAAGGAAGTCTTAAGACTTCTTGTAATTACTCCAGTGATGATTCCTATATTTCATTGCTACTGCAAAATTTCTCTCTGCACTAGACATAGTATTTTTCTACATACGACTAAAATGTTTTTCTTTACCTGTTTGTGTGATAGCCATTCCTGCAATACAAGGAGCCAAAACCAAGCAAGTTTTTGAGGACTGTGCTTTGATTCACTCCTACAAACAAAATGTGTAATCAAAAATACATTTACATACTACATGTTCACTTTTTTTAAAAAAATACTCTTAACCATGTTTTAAACCGCAACCATAGCAGGAATTACACAACAGTCCAGAAAACTATAATTCTCAAAATTTCACCTCAAGCTAAATATGTACATACTGTAATCCCATTCCTGTGACTTTCTATGACCCCAGTCATGTGGACTTCTTCCATCTGCCATAACTACACTTTTAGATAATCTGTGGCAAATGATCCAATTTAATTTCAAGAATAATGGAAAATATTTTTTCCAGAGTAACTACCAGGAAAATGATTTCCCTACATGTTCCAATAGATCACCAATTTTATATACTCTAAAAATGTAGTAAACCGTTTAACCGCTAACGTACAGTAGTATTCAAATTTTGCGAATATCAGTATGTTAGCACCAGCAGCAGATTTAAAACTCTGTAGTTTCTTTAATTCCTGAAAAATATTACACATTACTTCTAAGCATCAGATTGTTCATTCTGCCTTTAACCACAATGTGCACATGAAACTCAAAATAAATTTTAGCTGGCCCACATGGAACATGAAAAATAATTTCAGGCTGCAGTACATTATAAATCTACCTGCAAGGTAGGCAATCATACTGAAAACAATTAAGAATTACTTGTCCATATGCATGTACACAGGATTGCATTGTTACACGTTATAAATGATGAAATCCTCTTTTTCATTCTACTTTCACCCATTTGTGATTGAATATAACGTACCTCAAGTGGGAAGGGCAGATTATTAGGGCATGAAGGATTTTTTCGACCTTTTCAGAACCATCATCCTGCAACTGCTGTAACTGAGGGACACAGGCCCGTGCAAGTTCCCAGTCTCCCCTTTGCACACATTCAGAGAAGAACCAGAAGAGTCGTTCAAGGGATGCTGCTTCCTCCTTACCAAATGGATACATTTTCCTGCTTCAAAAGGCAAAACCTCGATTCATCAGCTCCTACTTTGAAATATATTTCATACATACAAACATATAAATAAAGCTGTTTCTTATGCGTTTCCTAAAATGAAAAGATTTTCGAAAAAAAGAACTTTAGTCTTTCTCAAAAATTTAGCTAGCTAGAAAACCACATAACTGTTTTCTGATTTAAAAGTCCAAATTCACCACTCTCTCTGTTCTAACTCAGCTACAGGCAGGTGGAGAAAAGTTTCTTTATTGACTGATTCCCCAGTTGTTTACCAGCTTTCCAAGCCCTAAGTGACTCTGTCAAAATTTGCACCACAAATCAATAACAGTTTGCAAAACCATTCTTGTCTACATACTACTACTACTTTGTTAATTCTGCTGGGAAACTGTGTACAAACAACGTTTGCAATATTATTTTTGCAACTATGAGAAATAGCAGTCCCCACTAAATCAAAATTTCTAAGCATCTATCCTTTCTGAGGTCTAAAGGTATCCAATTCACATGATTTCCACTTCTTCAACAGGTACACTGAAAAGTCCTCTAAACTCTAGCAGACTGTTTAGCTCTCACAAAGGAACTGTTTTCCTCTAGCTCTTGGCCACCATCTAATGGTCGTCCAGATTCCCACAGGTCAGATCGGGTGATCCTATACCTAGGCAAATGAGGAATACTATACGGTACAGTCTGGACATTAAGCAATGCCTCACTGGGGGCTGACCGCCTCGAAAACTTTTCGAAGCCGCGCCCTCATAAGTAAGCCACCATCTGCAAACGCAGGCAATAACAGGGGAAGGTCTGCCCGTCTGGATTTGCTGATAGACGCGTCGTCTCCTTTGATGACAGCAGCCTCTGCAAAACTTTCCCAGATATGAAGGTCCCTGATTCAGTTTCGGAGTTTGATTTCTCAGGGTTCCCTTGTTCCCTCAAATCTCTGCCCTGTAAAAGAGGTAACTGTTCTCGCCTCCAGCCCGACTCACCTGGGGGGAACAAAATAGTTTTACTATTTTCTGCGCAACCCCTCCTTCCCGATGCCATCCAGCGCTATGGCCGCAGCCATGTTGAACAACGTATCAGGTGATCTAACAGGCCAGTGACGTCACGGACGGACTGGAAGGGAAATACGCCATTGCTTCGTGGGGCAATGAGTCTGGGCAGGCGCCGTCGTTCAAACGGGCAGGCGAAGCGGGAGTTGACGCTTTTCCTTTAGTTTAGTTCAGGGGTCTTCAAACTTGGCCCTTTTATGACTTGTGGACTTCAACTCCCAGAATTCCTCAGCCAGGCACGCTGACTGAGGAATTCTGGGAGTTGAAGTCCACAAGTCATAAAAGGGCCAAGTTTGAAGACCCTTGGTTTAGTCCAGGGGTAGGCAACCTCGGCTCTTTTATGACTCGTGGACTTCAACTCCCAGAATTCCTGAGCCAGCTAAGCTGGCTCAGGAATTCTGGGAGTTGAAGTCCACGAGTCATAAAAGAGCCAAGGTTGACTACCCTTGGTTTAGTCCTTCGTCGGTGTCTCGCGTCTTCCTACCTGTTCTGTCATGCCCCGCGGAGGGTGCGAGTGCGGCTGCGCAAAGGTTCTTTGGCTTGAGGGTTATCCCGAGTTGTGACGCGCGAATCCCGGCCGGATTTGTGCCTCGGGGATCTCCAACACGCGTGTGCAGCAGACGTTTCTTCTTCCCTTCAGACTCTTTTACGGGAAAAAAGGCAGGAAAGCAGAGAAAGGATTTCTCTGAGTCCTGAGAGGTGGAGGCAAAGGCAGTGATCCCCACTGTCTTTCGATCCAGCGCAAATGTCCTTGTGGTCACGCACGAGTCAATAGAATTTTGTTAGCCGGTATACAAAACTGATTTGCTACTGTCTTGTTCCGGGGTGGTTTATTTATTTATGTATTTATTTATTTCCTAGTCTGGTTTACTACTAATCCAGCCCAGTTAAGTTTAGCACTTTTCCCCAAGGCGAATTGGGGAGTGGACCCTGTAATGTGAGGTCTTTCAATGAAAAAAGAATTAGGAGTTGCTCTGAGCGAGAATCTTAACAGACATTTTCAAAGGCAACATGGCAGGTCCCTCCTTTCCTAGTGAAAAAGCTCAACACTCTAAGAATATACACAGTTCAAAATATCGTTTTTATTTTAAACCAGTGGAATTTATACATAATGTATAATTCTACTACCCTTTTCTCCTTATAAGGAGTATATGGGTTCTCAATAAATTGCTCTGTAATGGTATAGTTTTCATAAGTGATATCCTGCCAATGGTTGCCTACTTTGGCCTACTACCCTCCCCCCCCCCACTTTCCTCTCATGTCTAGGTTCCTGTGTGTGTGTGTGTACACTCATAAATTAGGAAATATTTTTTTTATAAACCTACACTACAGATACCCTGGTTTCAGCATTCTTTCTTTAAAAGCGGAGATGGACCATTTGACCAGAGAAAGGTTTCACACAGAATCATGGTTGCTGTCAAGTCTTGCTGAGCAAGCTGTAAAGCATTGAAAGGAGAGCTACAGTATTTCATAAAGTTGGTTAGCACAAAGGGCTAATACCGCAGCTCTTTTTGGAAGAATGCTGGAACTACTTTGAAGCAGGTCATAGCTGCCAACGCATGTATGTGCATGCCCAACTGCTTCAGATCATTGTCAGTCCGAATAGAAATTATTGTTCATGTTCATGCCAGCTGTCTTCCCACATTATATCCTCTAAAACGCTTTTCTCCCTTTTCCTCTTACTGTAGCATTGAGACTCTGATATTCAGTTTAGTTTAGAATAGAATAGAGCTGGAAGGGACCTTGGAGGTCTTCTAGTCCAGCCCCCTACTCAAGCAGGAGAAACTATACCATCTCAGACAAGTGACTGTCTATTCTCTTCTTAAAAATCTTCAGTGATGGAGCGCCCACAATTTCTGGAGGCAAGCTGTTCTACTAGTTAATTGTCCTACTGTCAGGAAGTTTCTCAATTCCAGGTTGCTTCTCTCTTTGATCAGTTTCCAACCATTGTTTCTCATCCTTCCCTCTGGTGCTTTGGTGAATAACGTGACCCGCTCTTTTTTGTGGCAGCCCCTCAGATACTGGAATATTACTCCCCTATTTCTTCTTTTCTTTAGACTATCCAAATCCACAGCCATTCTTCATATGTTTTAATCTCCAGGCCTTTGATCACCTTAGTTGCTCTTCTCTGAATTTTTTCCAAACTCTCAACATTTTTTGTGTGATATGGTGACCAAAATTGGCTGCAGTATTCCAGGTGTGGTCTTACTAGTGTTTTATAAAGCAGTACTAATACTTCGTGTGATCTTGATTCTATGCCTCTCTTTATACAACCCAGGATTGTATTAGCTTTTTTGGCTGCTGCTGCACACTGCTGGCTCATAGTCAAGTGATCGTCCACTAGGACTCCAAGGTCCCTCTCACAGTTGCTGTTTTTGAGCTAGGTCTCACCCAATCTGTATTTGTACCTTTGGTTTTTCCTGCCTAAATGTAAGACTTTGCTTTTCTCCACATTGAAACTCATTTTGTTGGATAGGGCCCAATGTTCAAGTTTGTCAAGATCTTTTTGGATCCTGAGTATGTCTTCTGGGGTGTTGGCTACTCCTGTCAGTTTGGTGTCATCTGCAAATTTGATGAGTTCCCCTTCAATTCCCTCATCTAAGTCATTTATGAAGATATTGAAGAGTACTGGGCTTAAGACGGAACCTTATGGTACTCCGCTGCTTACTTCTCTCCATGTGCATGTGGTGCCATTGAGAACTACTTGTTGAGTTCAGTTTGCCAGCCAGCTACAGATCCATCTGGTGGTGATGTTGTCTATTTCACCTTTTTCTAGCTTACCAAGGAGTAGGTTGTGGTCTACTTTATCAAATGCCTTACTGAAATCTAAGTATACTACGTCCACAGCATTTCGCTGGTCTACTAGTTTAGTCACTTTATCGAAGAATGAAATAAGATTGGTTTAGCATGATCTGTTTTTAACGAACCCGTGGTCTACTAATTATACATTTGTTTGCTTCTAGTTGTTCACAGATCTGTTTTTTTTATTATCTTTTCTAGGATCTTCCCAGGTATTGATGTTAAACTGATTGATCTATAGTTTCCTGGGCCTTTTCCCCCCCCTTTCTTGAAGATGGGAACCACATCAGCCCTTTTCTAATCCTTAGGTACTTCCCCGGTGCTCCAGGATTTATGAAAGATATGGTTCAATGGTTCTGAGATAATATCTGTCAGCTCCTTCAGAACTTTGGGATGTAATGTTGGGTCCGGGCAATATATATTTGTCAAGGTCGGATAGGTGTTCTTTTACCATTTTCTTGCTTATTTTAATTTTTGTTTCTAGTTTGTCTTTTGCAGTGGTTTTTTTTTTGTATGTTGGGCTATAGTTTCTTTTTGTGTGAAGACTTATGCAAAGAATGAGTTGAGCAGTTCTGCTTTCTCCTTGTTGCCTGTTATTTCTTGCCATCTTCTCTCTTTAGTGGACCTTCAGTTTCCTTACTTTTTTCTTGTTTCATGGAATGTTCCTACCTTGCAATTTAAAGATGTTTTGGGGGAAAAAAAACTAAAGGAAAGGAAAAGAAGGGGGGCATTTGCAGTAGTATGGGCAGGGGGCTGGGAAAGTAAGGGGTGTTTGCTTCTCTCAATCTGGGCAAAAATGGAAGCAGTGCCCACTGAGAGATTAAGGATTGAATGGAGCTTCTAGGGTTAAAGAATGAGAAATCAACACAAGATGATAGAAAAACCAGCAACGAACATTGCCCAGAGCAAAATGGATGCACAGGGAAGGGGAATTGCCAGGCACTGCAGCTGGTCTGGGGCTGCTACCAGAATGGCACAAAGGGCTGGAAGGATTTAA